ACATAATGTTTTGTAAAATGTCTCTATATACAAATCTATCCATTATGCCATTTATGCGATGTAAAGGGCCAAGACCATTACCCGAAAAACAACAACAAACCATTACATCGTCTTACGTGGAACATGCCATCTGAATCTATCATGTTGAACTTTGATTCATCACTGCATAACACCGTATTCCACTTCTGCATGGTCCAATTTAAATATTCTTTTGCAAAAGCCAATCGACTACTAATTCTTTGGTTTTTTGTTCGCAAAGGTTTCTTTGCCGAGTGTTTACTGTACAAGCCTCTTTCCACTAATCGGCGTTGTATTGTACGGGAACTAGCAGGCAAAAATGGGGTTAATCTGACATTTTCTTTTAATCAAATTATCTTAACTTTTAGTTGATTTTCGTGGGCGGCCAGAATGTAATGGGCTAACTTCTCTACCTCTTTCATTGTAGCGTTTGATAATCATGGATATATTTACGGCAAACTGAGAGCTAATGACACTTCGAAGTTTGTACTTTAATATCTGCGCTATACGTCTTCTGCATGGGGCATTGTACTATAATGTTTTAATTAACGATGCATGGGGTCCGGCAGTGGTTTGTAAACTGAGTGTAATACATACACCCTGAATATTTTTATATACGGACGTGTTATCAGAAAAATAAGGACTTCCCCGGCGTCTACTATGAGAAGTTGTCTAACTTTTGTCGTGCCTCTTTTTATTATGATTGGAGCTATTATTTATTATTCTGGAAAAAATCATTTTGTTTGGTGAGGAATTACCGATATCTTATCTGTTTTAACCTTCTTTACAATAGGATATGTATTTTTAAATCTTTAGTGCTCATTTTCATTTTTTTTCATTCTATTTCCGAAAATTATTGCATTATTGTACGGTTGCTTAATTCATGTCCGATACTATAGCTACTGCTATATCATAATATATAAAAGTATCTAATATGGATCCCAAACAATCTGCAAAACAATACTTAAATATCTTAAAGCCAATAATAATAATATCGTTATTTCCATATTCTATACAGCATCAGAAATTGTCATTACGCTAATGATTACAAAAGATAGTCGGTACAATACGTACTTTCGTCATCTCACAGCGAAAATACAAAAAACAAACACAAAAGGAAACAAAACAAATTACTGCAATTCTCTGTCATCGTCGTGGTCCCATTCCGTGTTTAGTAAATATTCCCCCACTGAGTAAAAGCATTTGGATGTAAGGAAAATTTTCAATTTATACTTGAAACGGTTGAAATCAAGCCTCTTAAATGTTATCGGCAAATGATTGTATAAGCGAATCATCATATGTTGAGGGCTATTTTGGGTGAGAGACAGTCGGCATTTCGGTATGTACAGATTTCCAGCCAGCCTAATGGGGTATTGAGTATTTATATCACCACTCCTAGCAAACTCCGTAAGGTGTTTCTTTACATATAAGAGTGATTGCAGAATATAAACACAAGGCATGGTTAATAAGCGATTCTTTCGAAATGATTCCTTACATGATTCATTATAAGACAAATCAAACATCGACCTAATGACTTTCTTCTGGGCCACAAACACTCGTTGTGAACTCGAAGAATTGCCCCAACACACAATGCCATAATTTAGATGGAAATAAACCAAACCGTAATAAATAGTTTTGACAATTTCGGTATCAAGTATCTTCCGAAGTTTCAAAAACGAGAGTGAGGACAGCTTGTTTGAAAGAACTCCGTCGACTTTACCCAGCACGCTGAAATCAGGTTTATTGTATTTTGAAGTGAACAGAGTTAGTTGCGTTTTACCACAGTTCAATATCAAACCATTGGTGTTACACCAATGTAGCATTTCGCGAGCAACATCAGTGATCCTTATTGACAACTGAGGAACTGATTTAGCCTTTATTGCGACGGAACGATCGTCGGCAAATAAAACCTGTGTAGAATCTGTACAAGATAAAGGGACATCGTTTATGTACAAAATGAGAAGCAACTGCCCCAATATGCTCCCCTGAGGGACTCCATATTGCACTGGGAGGAGAGACGAGTAGACAGTACTATTATTCTTTGACCACTTTACCAGCTACTGCCTACCAGACATGTAACTTTGAATCCATGCTAAGGCTGGGCCTCGAATACCATATCGACTCAATTTTTCTAAGTGTAGTTGGTGACGTAGAGTATCAAATGCTCTAGACAAGTCAAAGAATAGGCCACACCAGACAGACCGAGCATACAGACCCTCCACCACAGATGCATAAAAATCCAAAACAGCATCCTGAGTTGACTTATCAGTCCTAAAGCCAAACTGATGATTATTAATTATATTACACTTACTAACGAATTCATTTAGTCGCATAAAAAATGCTCTTTCAAAAATCTTTGAAATTGCCGGAAGAACAGCTACAGGTCTGTAATTGGACATCACTGAAGGATCTCCCTTTTTGAAAATGGGGGTTATGGAGGCTATCTTGAGCTCACACGGAAATTCCCCGCATACAAACGACTCATTAATAAGAGCTGTCAATGTATCAGTTACAATGTGAGATACCTTGCCCAACAAGGAACAAGGTATCTCATCACAACCACTCCAGTGCTTGACAGCCACGGACTTAATTATGTTAGCAACATCTGAAGCTGTAACTGCAGTTAGAAAAAGTGAGCAGTCATTATTTTTTATGCTTATTAGTACCTCAGAAATATTTACAGTCGAGCAGCTCACCAATTTTCCAACAGAATTGATAAAAAATTCATTAAAAAGTTCAGCAATATCAATGGGAGCTGAGACCTCGGCACCATTATCACCTATAAAGGTACTAGTCGCAGTAATAATTTTATCTAAGGAATGCTCCTGGCGGAATCAATATCCCAGGGAATTATCACTGTCTCAAATACAAGTGTATCAAAAATTTTACAAACAGGCACTTACTCCTTACCATTTTTGTATTTCATTTAGATGTAACTAAAACAAAATATAAATTGACGATGGAAGAAAAAGATGAAGCTATGAACACACTTAGAGATACGTACGCTAATACTGGATTACTACCAATAATAGTTAAGATATAGGGGAAAAATGGAACCATTTTCTGCAAGGAAGTTATATCCATTGCTTTGCAGTGGGTGGTTGGATATCACAAAAAAACCTTCCTGATATTTAAACTTTAAAACAATATTTATGTGTTGTTTGTTCTGGAGAGGAGTCTTCACAACATTTGGGTTCGTCCACGTCAATGTGTGCAACAAATGAGGAGTGGAAAAAAACAGAAAATTAGTATTTTTATATAAACTTTATAATTCCTGAGTATTGTATTCTTTTTGTTTTTATTTATACAGGATGTTTAGAAATTGGCGAATAATGTACACGTAGCGACATTCTTCGTTCGGTTCTAAAGCGAAAATCTTAATTTTAAAATGTTGTACCATACTTCATACGTCTTCATGAGGTTCTCAAAGTTCCGATAATTTGTCCATAAATATAATCATTAATATTCAATATCTGTATAAATAAGCTGTAATTTGAAATAAAAAGAATTTTGAAAACAAATTTTTTTGATGAAGTTATTTTCTTTAGCTTAAAGTTCGTTTTTAACATTTTTCAGTATCATATCTTCATGAAAAACATATTTGAACAACATTTTCGATTCAGAGTCGATCGGAAAACGTCGCTACGTGTCTAATTTCTAAACATCCTGTTTTTGTTTGTCTTAGTTTTTAGTTGCCTGCTTTACCAGTTTTTATATAAAGAATATATTTATTTTCATTTTTCTTTTGACTTAAACTATTGATTAATATAAAAAAATTACTTCATTTAAATCATTGATTAAAATCGTGTTTTAAATCGAGTGATTTAAATTAGACGAACCCTGGTTTGATCCTCAGCTTGTGCAATATTGAAGAGGTGGCATTTTCGTAATCAGGAAATCTAAGATCGACCTTAGGTCCCCTTTGCTGAGGCACAAAACCTCTTTGGTTATCTTTTGTGACTTTTCGCCTCTCTGTATCCTGGAAGTTCTTTCCAGCGCAATGCTACCTTTGAGGGCTGCCATATATTAATTACCCATTTTAAGTAACTTTTTTGTAGGCTATAGCTGGGTTGGGGTCTTCAATCTCGTTTTAAGCGTTCTTTGGCCAGTGCAGATTCACACGTGAAAATATTTATCGATGCATCTTTCTATGCCTTTTCTAGATTCAAAATGGTGCAAAAGTTTATGGCAAGAACTTCAGCTTGAAAAATGGTTATTATCCAAGCTTAGGGGTAACTTAATGTACTATTTGGTCCACTATGTGTATTATGGGATAACTTGATTAAGACATCCTTACCTTCTTCTTGAACACAATTCTATAAGTTTCCATCGCAATGAATTTGACATCATCTTGAAATGAAATGAATTTTTTAAATGACCAATTATGTGAATGTAATATATCGCACGATTTATTAATGTAATAATAAAAAAGTTAAATAAGTATGGTTAGAAATAACCAACGAATAATTTAAGTAAATGAAACCCACCTGTGGAGTTTATTAATACTTACACCATTCTAAAAATACTCCATATCGATGTTATCACTTAAAATCACCGTAAAATCATTAATATGAGTATTACACTGTTTTGTGTATAACATTTATTATATTTTAAAGCATGAAATAACAGCTCTATTTCACGTCGGTTAAACTAAAATATTTAAATGTTAACACCATGTTTTATAACATATTGGAGATAAATAAAAAAAAGAATTATTACCAGTTTCTAAGCAATTTCTACGAACACACAACCAGTTTTTGAAACGAATCAGAAAAAAAAAACTGAAATAAAAAAACGGTTGCGCAATTCGAGGTTATGTTGTCAAATATCCCCACTCTGCCATCAAAACAAACGCCGACCGCGTCTCAACGCGTCCAAACAAACAACAACAAACCATAGACGTACCAAAATACTTATCAAAAATTATTTAAATAATGTTTTATTTATAAATATAATTATTTTTTGATGTTGTTGAAACTCACCTGTCGACAACTGCTTGTCTTTTAGGTGGTATTACTTCTCCAGGATGATGATGACGCGGCGACAGCACCGGGGGTTGTGGGGGCGCACTCCCGACACCCTCGAGACACCCCCCTGTGCCTAAGCAACTTCGATCCAGGATGTCCAACACACAACGGGGCAATCGCCAATTACATTTCTCACCCCCGCGGGTTGGCAAACGGTCACTGCCACCGCGTACCGCCACTGATGTCCATGTGCATTTTACGTCGCCGCGATTCGGTAAAGGACGGTGCCATCGATTTGAAACCGAAGTCAAACTAAACTAACAGGTTGTCGACATAACCTCCAAAAAAGTCTTCAGGGGGCCGCCACTGTTAAAATTGACCGGTTAACAAGCCGATTTTGCGTTTGTAAATGTCGTTAACGGAAGTTTAGAAACGGAAACACACACTTGTTACGAGTTTTTGCACAATCACTAACCGAAAGTGTTTAATTTTTTTTAACTTTCGCTGGTTGTTGAGAAGACGGAGAACGGAGCGGCCATTTTAGTCGAGATCGGTCCGGCGCTTGCTTAGGAATGAAGAGCGGAACAGTTGTCGCGTGTGTAGTTACGAAGAAAACCGAGAGTGAACGAATTAAAAACCCGATTTGGAAAATTGATTTATTTTAGAAATTGATTTTATTTCGTTTTTCAATCTAAATCAACAATCATTTTAATTATTATAATAAAAATGAGATTATTATCAATAAAATTATGAAAATAATATTATTTGGGATTGTTTTCTATTAAGGATTAAAATTGAAGGTTATGTTGGAGTATTACTAGCGACATCTCTTTAATAAAAGACGCACTTCGTTCAAAAAATTATTTGAATATATTTTAATAATTAATTTAGTTAATTATTAATAACATATATTTTTATAACGTTGATATAAAACATAAAAATCCCACTTTATCAATATTAATAATAAAATAATTCAAATAAAACAATACTGATGAATCTAATTTAATTTATTAATCGTTATAAAATAAATTGATTAAATAAAATTTGAAATATTCACACAATTAATAATTTAAATGAGACAATATATTTATAAAAACAATTTTTTAATAATAAATAATATAAAATTAAAATTTTATGAAGAGTGTAGGCAACCAACACGACAACGAATTGATTTATAAAATAATTATTAATAAAACATTTTTTAAATGTTATTTTAATGAAATAATCAATAAAGGAGACTTAATTTTAAATACAACATGATAGAAATGAGTAATTAATTCAATTTTAAATTAAAATAATAAGTATTATATAGGCAACCCAAATTACAACGTGTCAAAATTAAGGTAATTTTTAAATTTTACAATTAAATAGTATTATTGTTGTTATTCAGAATGAAAAATACGGAATAAGAAGTGAATCGTACCCGTACAAAGTCTTAATAATGTTTAATACAGCTGCAAGATGCTTTGAAGAGGCATTAGAGATTTCTTTATATTTTAGAAATTTTCTAAAGCACTCTTCAAGTACTACTGTACCTTTTCAGTCAATAATTTCATATAACTCGCAATATCTGAATGTATTAACCATAAACTTGCACTGTCCCACATAGAATGCAACATAGCTTAATAGTACACGCATTGGGTAGTTTTGAAAAGAAAAAGTTTTGCTTGGAAAAAGGTATCCTTATGACAACCTTAAGTTTTCGGCCGTCTTAAGATACGCACGGCTAAATCCAAATGATTCTATGGTTCTTCAAAAAACCTACATTCTCATGTAGGTTTTGCTGTACGTATTTAAAGACGGCTAAACCCGAACGATTCTAGTTCAAGGTATAGTGTTAGTTCTACATAGTAACAGTGCTAGTGTAAAACTAGAACTAACACTAGACCTAGAACTAGAAACATTCGGGTTTAGCCGCACGTCTTTCAAGACGGCTAAACCCGAATAATTCTAGTTATAGGTCTTGTGTTAGTTCTAGTGATAGTTTTAGTGTAAAACTAGAACTAACACTATACCTAGAACTAGAATCATTTGGATTTAGCCGCACGTCTCTAAAGACGGCTAAACCCGAACGATTCTAGTTCTAGGTATAGTGTTAGTTCTACATAGTAACAGTGCTAGTGTAAAACTAGAACTAACACTATACCTAGAACTAGAATCATTTGGGTTTAGCCGCACGTCTCTAAAGACGGCTAAACCCGAACGATTCTAGTTCTAGGTATAGTGTTAGTTCTACATAGTAACAGTGTTAGTGTACAACTGGATCAAACACTAGACCTAGAACTAGAAACATTCGGGTTTAGCCGCACGTCTTTCAAGACGGCTATACCCGAATGAATCTAGTTATAGATCTTGTGTTAGTTCTAGTGATAGTTTTAATGTAAAACTAGAACTAACACTATACCTAGAACTAAAATCATTTGGGTTTAGCCGCACGTCTCTAAAGACGGCTAAACGCGAACGATTCTAGTTCTAGGTATAGTGTTAGTTCTACATAGTAACAGTGCTAGTGTACAACTGGAACTAACACTAGACCTAGAACTAGAAACATTCGGGTTTAGCCGCACGTCTTTCAAAATGGCTAAACCCGAATGATTCTAGTTATAGGTCTTGTGTTAGTTCTAGTGATAGCTTTAGTGTAAAACTAGAACTAACACTATACCTAGAACTAGAATCATTTGGATTTAGCCGCACGTCTCTAAAGACGGCTAAACCCGAACGATTCTAGTTCTAGGTATAGTGTTAGTTCTACATAGTAACAGTGCCAGTATACAACTGGAACTAACACTAGATCTAGATCTAGAAACATTCGGGTTTAGCCGCACGTCTTTCAAGACGGCTAAACCCGAACGATTCTAGTTCTAGGTATAGTGTTAGTTCTACGTAGTAACAGTGCTAGTGTACAACTGGAACTAACACTAGACCTAGAACTAGAAACATTCGGGTTTAGCCGCACGTCTTTCAAGACGGCTAAACCCGAATGATTCTAGTTCTAGGTCTTGTGTTAGTTCTAGTGATAGTGCTAGTGTAAAACTAGAACTAACGCTAGACCTAGAACTAGAAACAATCGGGTTTAGCAAAATATTTCTAGTTCTAGGTCTAGTGTTAGTTCTGGTTTTAGTTGTTATTCAGCGCAAGATTATTGTATATTTTTATTGAAGTAGTTGAAAGGTTAAATATCCGTATTAGAAAAGTAAATATATTAGATTGTATAGTAGAACTAGAATCATTTAGATTTAGCCGTCTTGAAAAACATGCGGCTAAACCCGAATGTTTCTAGTTCTAAGTCTAGTATTAGTTCTAGTTTTGTACTAGCACTATTACTTGAACTAACACAAGACCTAGAATGAGAATCATTGTGGTGTAGCCGCCTTGAAAGAAGTGCGACTAAACCGTAATTAATACAGTTAACATTTCTTTCTTAATTAATCTTATAATTATATTCTAATTATTCTTATCTTTATAATTTTTAATAATATAAATCTAACAAAAAAGCGCAAAACGGCGTTTTATTGGTTTCCTTTGTTTCTAAACTGCGTGGGAATCGTTTTTCTGTACCATTATCCTAGTATTGGTATACACATAATTCTTCAAATGTATATACTTTCCACTCTCGTAGTAAATACGTCCACGCATCCGAAGGGGTCACGGAGGAGGGGCACCTCCATGCTTCGCTAATTGGCACTTCCTTCCGGCCTGCGGTGCTCCTCTTTTATTTGTTTCATTACATTCTTCTTTTTGTACCAAGCGCGGATGGTACTAAAAAATATCTCTACGAGATTACGAAAGAAAACAATTTAAAAAATTAGAAAACATAATGGTCATGGTTTGATCATGCATAAATCCTTCGAAAAAACAAGGTGTAGTAAGAAGCGTTTCAAATTTGAGTTGAAAATTTGTTCTGTGGTGATTTTAAAGTTGTTTTTGAGTTAAAAATGGTGCGCGTTTCGCTTGGATTTAGTAAAGGATTGTTAGCGTTTTTTAATTTTTTGTTGTTGGTGAGTTATTTTTTGTTTGTTTGGCGATATTGGGTCTTGGAAAAGAAGTGAAAACGAATTAAAAATTTGATTGAAATGCGGAACGAATAAAAAAGGAACTTTCCAAGCTGTTGATTCTTTGAATTTTAAATTTAGCTCAGTTATGTCAATGAACTTTTTCTTTTTCTACATTTATTATGATTAAAAGACTTTTTACCTACTTATTATTTTATTATTTCAATGAAAATGAATAAACTTAACATTAATTTGGAACAGCTTCTAATCCCACAATTTTATATGGATTTCCGTCCCCAAGTCTTTTATCTCTTGTGTAATTATATCTATCAGTTATAGTTAACATACTTCTTCTGTACATGTTACCAAGTGCTAATTTGTTGATGATATAAGCAGAGGCATGAGGGAAAGTCATCGCCACTAAAATAATTCCTGCACTGGGTAAAATTTCGTACCACATTTTCACCTGTTTGGGTGCTTATTGATTATATTTCTTGCAATAAAATGTAGGCAACCCAAATTACACGCTTTATTTTAAAATTTGAATTACTTTAGATTTGGGTCGCTCCAAGACTTGCTAATTAACTCTAATGCGGAGGTTATTACAATAATAATATAAAGAGTTAATAACTTGATAATTTGTTTTAGGCATGTGGTTGTACATTAATATCAGGAGGATTATTAGTTTTATTCGACCCTGAAAGAGTTTTACTTTCACGACTTTTATCAAGCGGAACGTTAACAACATTATCACACCCTTTACTTTACTATTTAGGACTAGGATTAGTCGTTTTGGGTTTAATATTATCAGGAACTGGTCTTTTGGGATGTTGGGCTTCGTGTTTAATCAGCTATTCAATTTTAACCGTGGTAAATAAACAATTTTTTTTAACCTCATTAGATCATTTTCTCTCATCATTATTTTCTCTTCTTTCATTATTAGTACTTTCTGTTTATTATCGTCGTCTTGGTTGGAGAATGTGGAATCTATGCCATAGCTTGGGCATGGCCTCAATGTTTAGGCTTGGGAATGATCCCGGAAGAACTTACGAAATCGTTACAAAGAAGTTATGGCGTTGCTGGGCAAGAACAATTTACCGCAGCGATCGATTTAGCTCAAACATTAGTAAGACGATAATTATTAATAAATGTTATTAAATAATAAACACTTTTAGTTTAAATGTTGTGGAATTCAATCGTCGATTGAATATGAAACGTCAGTTTGGAGATTACAATCATTAGGACCATCGTTAAACGTTCCATTAACATGTTGTAAATTGGAAAATACTGAAAATATTTACGCGTATTTAAACCCGAAACCACTTAACGGTACTTTGTGTCAATTTTTAGATAAAGATTTACAACAAGGATTCCGACATTTTCCGGTAAGTAAAAAATTTCTTTATCAAAATTATCTTCTTCCACTACCTCCGGTTCCTGGCTAATTCCTTTATATCTACAAAATTAGAAGAGTGTTAAAAAAAATCGGTATACGAAGCATGATACAGAAAAGCTTTTGCAACAAAAGTTGTAGAAAAGTGTAGCCTTAACACAATGGTCTGTAACATTTTTGCTCCCAGATGCATCAATGTAGAGAATTTTTCAAAAATATCAAAATTAGAAGAGTGTTAAAAAAAATCGGTATACGACGCATGATACAGAAAAACTTTTACTACAAAAGTTGTAGCAAATTATACCCTTAACACAATGGTCAATAACATTTTTGCTCCCAGATGCATCAATGTGGAGAATTTTTCAAAAATATGAAAATTAGAAAAGTGTTAAAAAAAGTCGGCATCCGGAGCATGATACAGAAAAACTTTTACGACAAAAGTTGCAGCAAATTGTACCCTTAACACAATGGTCCACAACATTTTTGCTCCCAGATGCATCAATGTAGAGAATTTTTCAAAAATATGAAAATTAGAAGGATGGATCTAAACCGGTGTGAAAACAGCACACCAATCATAGCAGCCCGTTTTACCGAAGACATCCGAGATTATTTTTAGGTAAAATAAAAAGTATAACCCCACATAAACGAGAATGTGCTCCGCGAATCTGACTACTGTAAAGTGTATCTAAAACTACCCCTTATGAAATAGAGTGGTCAGATTTTGTTGCGGTCATTTCTTAAAGACGTTTTTACCACCCCCAAGAAAAAAAAACCTCACGTGTAAACGAGATTGTACTCCGCGGATCTGATGACTGTAAAATATACCTATAATTACTCCCTATGAGATAGCGTGCCCAGATTTTCTTGTAGTCATTTCCTAAGGACGCTTTTAGCCACCCCCTAAAGAAAGAAATTCGCCACAAGTAAACGCGAATGTGCTCCGCATATCTGACTACTGCTAATTGTATCTAAAATTATTCTCTATAAGATAGCGTGACCAGATCTTGTTGCACTCATTTCCTAAAGACGGTTTTAGCCATCCCTAAACGAAAAAAATTCGCCACAAGTAAACGCAAAAGTGCTCCGCTTATCTGACTACTGCTAATTGTACATAAAATTACCCTCTACAAGATAGCGTGGCCAGATTTTGTTGCACTCATTTCCTAAAGACGGTTTTCCNTAACAAATAGTAGGGGGCCTAGATTTGAGCCCTGAGGAACACCAGACCTAGCCGTAAACTCCATAGACGCATAACCGTTGTAGTACACATAATTTATACGACCCGATAGGTAAGAGGTAAATAGTTTCATAAACTTAGGAGATAAGCCAAAAGCACTAAGTTTATACAAGAGGACGTCATGATGAATCATGTCGAATGCTTTAGAAAAATCAGTGTATACCACATCTACCTGACGATAATCTCAATACCAACCAAAGCAAATAAACAAATTTAATAAAGACAAGCATTCACCGCTATAATTATTACTACTTACGGCAACGTGAAGCACGAACATAGACTCACACTTCGGTAACAAATATACCTCAGAATAACTAGTCTCACCAAACAAAACCAAGCAGCAAACACAGCGAATATGACACGTGCACCTCTCACTTGTTCACGCGCTCACTACTACTACTACGCTTCACTACTGCTAATTGTACGTAAAATTACCCTCTACAAGATAGCGAGGCCAGATTTTGTTGCACTCATTTCCTAAAGACGGATTTCCCACCCCCAAACGAAAATAAATTCGCCACAAGTAAACACAAATGTGCTCCGCTTATCTGACTACTGCTAATTGTACATAAAATTACCCTCTACAAGATAGCGTAGCCAGATTTTGTTGCACTCATTTCCTAAAGACGGTTTTAGTCACACCCAAACTTAAAAAATTCGCCACAAGTAAACGCAAATGTGCTCCGCTGATCTGACTACTTAAAATTGTATCTGAAATTATTTTAATTTTGATTACTTTAAATATGAGGACATGGAACTCTTTCACAAATGTGATAAAGATTTTTATCTACAACTATTGAATTATCTATTCGTTATACAATTGATTTTTGACGGGTAATGACACGCATTACCCATGACTGACAAAGTGTTGAATAATGAAGCCATTATTCCACAGTTCTGACACGGCCTACTAATCAAAAAATAAAATATTAACAGAAATGACAGCTTTCTTATATTGAGGTTATGTTTGAAATGGCCACTCAGATTACAACACTCGCTCGCTTCGTTCGCTCGTGTTGCAACTTCTTCTTCGTGGGTAACAGCCGCCATTATACGCTTGTTGAATAATATACTATAAAATGGACCTGGAACTGTTCGAAATTAAGAAACACTAACAATGAATTGTTTAATTACCAAACAGATCAGGCCATAATAAACTTATTTTGTCCACGACTATCTTATAATATATACCTTATGAATGAGTTTTCTAAAATAAAATGGTAGTCATTTTTCACGGAGTGAATAATAATCATTATCCACGGGTAGCCATCTTGATCAGACTAATAATAATTATTTGAAACGTTAAAAGTTCAAAAAACGTCAATTTAATTCAATTTTTTAGGAGTTTCTAAATGTTTGATATTAAAAAAACCTAAACAAATTCCTTTTTTCGTATGATTTAAGCATAAATTAATTAATTTCGGTAAAGAAAACGACGTTTTATAAAACTCACTCAGGTTAATTATGCCACTCGCTACGCTCGTGACATAAACTTAACCTTCGTGAATAATAGCCCTCATTATATGCTCATATAATAATATACTAATCGTTGTGCGCTGTCTCTTGTGCGCATCTACTATCCATCGGCATCGTAAACTTTTATCTTCTTTCTGTGGTATATGGGGTGGCTAAAAGCGTCCTTAGGAAATGACTACAAGAAAATCTGGGCACGCTATCTCATAGGGAGTAATTATAGGTATATTTTACAGTCATCAGATCCGCGGAGTACAATCTCGTTTACACGTGAGGATTTTTTTTCTTGAGAGTGGCTAAAAGCGTCTGTAGGAAATAACCGCAACAAAATCTGACCACTCTATTTCATAAGGGGTAGTTTTAGATACACTTTACATTAGCCAGATTCGTGGAGCACATTCTCGTTTATGTGGGGTTATACTTTTTATTTTACCTAAAAATAATCGTGTAAAACCGACTTTAGCGTATATTCGGATGTCTTCGGTAAAACGGGTTGCTATGTTTGGCGTGCTGTTTTCACACCGGTTGGATCTAATTGAACCTTACCATCAAAAAATTAGAAGATTGTAAAAAAAAACAAGAACCCGAACAAGAAAAAAAAAAACTTTTGCAACAAAAGTTGTAGCAAATTGTACCCTTAACACAATGGTCAGTAACATTTGTGCTCCCAGATGCTCAATGTGGAGAATTTTTCAAAAATATGAAAATTAGAAGAGTGTTAAAAAAAAATCGGTATCCGAAGCATAATACAGAAAAAACTTTTACAAGAAAAATTGTAGCAAATTGTACCTTTAACACAATGGTCTGTAACACTTTTACTCGCAGATGCATCAATGTAGAGAATTTTTGAAAAATGTGCAAATTACAAGAGTGTTGAAAAAAAACGGTATCCGGAGCAGAATACAGAAAAACTTTTACAACAAAAGTTGTAGCAAATTGTACCCTTAACACAATGGTCAGTAACATTTATGCTCCCAGATGCTCAATGTGGAGAATTTTTCAAAAATATGAAAATTAGAAGAGTGTTAAAAAGAATCGGTATCCGAAGCATGATACAGAAAAGTTTTACAACAAAAATTGTAGCAAATGGTGCCCTTAACACAATGGTCTATAACACTTTTGCTCGCAGATGCATCAATGTAGAGAATTTTTCAAAAATAAACTGACCGGCAAAAATAACTGGCTTTCCAAAACTTCTGCCACAACTTCAAAGCTGGCTTTCTCGCGAACCGCGCATTCGATTTTGATGATTCTTTCTTTGATGGAAAGGTTGATTCTTCTGTAATAGTCCTGCGATAGAAATTTTCATTCAGATTTTAATTTGAGCATATACGGTGTGAGAAAAGTGAGAAAAACTTTTATTCTCGAAATTTGTAACACCCTGTGGGGTGCAGCTGCTACAGCAGAGGGTATTACCTGGAATTAAACAGTAGCCCAATCTTTTCTGAGCATTTTCTTTTTTTATTCACTCTACTATCTCTGTTACTAACGAAGATGCAGTATTTTAAAGTGATAGCCTGGGAATACAAGATGAGTGACAATAGTAGCTGATGACAGTTTTATTGTTCTAAGCAATCGTAGAACGACAGCTGTAGAGGCTCGGCATCGTCTTCAAATGGTGCGTGTTGTTGATGTCAGTGAGAGAACAATTCGCTGAAAACTTGCTAGAAGTCTAGCTGCAAGAAGGCTGCCAAAGGGCCGAGGCTGCTTCCTAGATATCGACGGGCGCGTCTTCAATCTGCGCGCTTACATGTGAATTGGGAGATCGAGCAATGGAGGAATGAGTAGTCCTTTTTACGGATGAGTAGTGGTTTTGTCTACTATCACCCGATAGTCAGGAGCGACTATGAAGACGTTGAAATGAAAGATTTATGGACTACACAATTATAAAACGCGAAAGTTTCGATGGTGGTTCTGTGATGGTATGGCCGGAAATTTCCAAACAAGCCTACACAGATTTTTAATCATTGTTAAAAGTGGCGCCTTAAATCACTGACCTTGAAAACTAAAACTGGGTACCCGAAACAGTTTTGCAGAAGCACTTACATTTTCTTAGAATTACAGAATTGCGTACGTCCTTCATTATTGTAAACATCTGTTCTCAGTTCTAATATGCGGTAAAAACAAAGACAAATAAACAAGAAAACAAATTTAATTTAATGTAATAATTAATAATAACACGAAAATTAATAACGTGTGTGCCCCCCACGAGCCAAAATAACGTCATGTAGTCGACGCGGCATCGAACTGATTAGGTTCGTAATTGATTCCTGAGGAATTGCGGTAAACTCTTCTTCAAGAGCAATTCGTAACTCCTGAAGGTTGTCCGGTAGGACAGGACGACGACGAATGCGTCTCTGAAGTTGGTCCCAAAGATGTTCGATAGGGTTAAGGTCCGGGCTGCACGCTGGCCACTCCATCCGTTCAATACCCACCTCATCAAGATATTCGCTAACCACACGTGCTACGTGCGGTCGCGCATTGTCATGCATTAGCATGAATCCGTCACCAATAAAATGGGAATAGGGCACGACAGCTTCTTGCAGAATATCTTCGATATAACGGTGGGCATTTAGCGTGCCATTTTCAACAAAGATGACCGCTGTATACGCTTCCGTCGAAATACCCGCCGATACCATGACCGAACCTCCATGGAAAGGTACTCTTTCCGAAATTGTGCAGGTCGCAAACCTTTCATTACGACGTCTCCACACTCGTTCTCGATCATCAGGTGACCGGAGACAAAATCGGGACTCATCAGTGAAGAGCACCTTACCACAGTATAAAGTAAAGCAGTAGTCTCACTTCGTGTCGGCACGTTTGACGTCGTGTCCGTAGATTTTTTACTGCGTATCCGCTGCGCGCATCATTGAAATAAATGTTGCAACAAACTTTTATGTCGATGATAAAGATCACGTACTCATAAGGTAGCAAACGTAGTATGAATGCGCGCAGTGTGTGCGCTGTAGCAAATCTGAGGACGCCATATAAGGCAAGTGAGACTACTTACTTTATGCTGTGACCTTACCCCATTGTTCCATTTCCCAATTCGTATGTAGGTGCCCAAATTGAAGACGTGCTCGCCGATATCTCTGGAGCAACCGCTGTCTTTTGGCAGGTCTTCTTGCAGTTAGATCACTTTCAGCAAGTCTTCGACGAATGGTTCTTTCACTTACGTCAACCCCACGCACCATTTGAAGACGATGCCGACTTTCTACACCAGTCGTTCTACGATTCCTCAGAGTGTTTAGCACAATAAATCGGTCATCAACTGCTGTTGTCACTCGTCTTCTACCGGAACCTTGCCACCTAGTAAAATTTCCTGTTGCCACATATCGGTTCCAGGCATCCTGAACTGTTGTTCGGGGTATACCCAACGTATGGGCAACGTACCGCTGACTTTTGCCATCTTTAATTAAACTAATAATACAAGCAACATCAGTTATTGACAACGGCATCTTTGACAACTGTCAATTTACTATTCGAAACAACTGACATACGCTACCTAGCGCGCCACCTTAGATTTTGTATGCTTATTTGTCTTGTTTTCACAGGCATTCGCTTTAAAACACTGCATCTTCGTTAGTAACAAAGATAATAGAGTGAATAAAAAAACAAAATGTTCAGAAAAGATTGGGCTACCGTTTGATTCCAGTTAACACCCTCTGCTGTAGCATCTGCACCCCACAGGGTATTAAAAATTTCGAGAAAAAATGCTTTTCTCATTCTTACACCCCGTATATGCTCAAATTAATATCCGAATAAAAATTTCTATCGCAGGATTATTACAGAAGAATCAACCTTTCGATCAAAAAAGGAATCATCAAAATCGAATGAGTGGTTCGCGAGAAACCCACCTTTGAAATTGTGGCAAAATTTAAGTGTTTTTTGCCGGTCAGTTTATGAAAATTAGAAGAGTGTTAAAAAAATCGGTATACGGAGCATGATACAGAAAAACTCTTGCAACAAAAGTTGTAGAAAATTGTACCCTTAACACAATGGTCTGTACCATTTTTGCTCCCAGATGCATCAATGTAAAGAATCTTCCTAGATCTTCTCCTCTTTTTCTTTCTCTCTTTTTCTGTCTTCCTTTATCTCATCTTCTCTTCCCTCCTCCATTGTTTGTGTTCGTTTTCCATCCTTGAACTTTTCTGCATAAAAATCCGCTCATATGTCCAGAATTTCCCTTGTAGTTGTTTTTATCTCGTTGTTTTCTAAATTTTAGGGTTGTTCCGAACATTTAGAACACTGGTACAAAGAACAATATATAATATTTTTAGGTGTAGGCTTAATCGTAGTTTTAATTGAATTCACAGTGCTTTTATGCACGATTTTAGCTTGCACCAAAATATACAAATCGAAACACGCTAAACACCAAAATGAAACCAAAGAAGAATCGAATACTTTAAAATCGTTAAACCGTTGCAAAGATGATGATAGTTTAAAGAATTCTTTAGCCTATACAAACGATGTTTATACTTTAAGCAGTAGTTTTCGACAAAATTATAAAACCGTAGATCGAGCATGATGGTTATTTGATGGCGTATCGCCCTATGATTTAAATTATACATTTGACGACGAAGCTAATTCTATGTTATGGTAATAAAGTCTTTTTTATAAGAGAAATGTTTAGTTATTTAAATAAATTTAGGCAACCCAAAATACAAAGTATTTTCTTTTCTTTTTAAATATAACCATTATAAAAATAATAAGAAAAACACAAAATAAGATTAAATTTAACAAAAAATTGATTATAAAAACCTTTTTAATTGAAAATTAAGTAAAATTAAGTTTTTTTTAAACGCCATCTATGAGAAAAAATAAAAATAATCCTCAATTTTTGACATAACCACGTGAAAATCAACATAACCTCAATTTAAAACTTGTAAATAAAACCTTGTGATAATGGGAAAACGCAAGAATAAAGTTGGTCGTTGTGTAAAAAGAAATAAAAATGTGCTCACCGAACCGGAAGAATTTGTGCAAGCGCCCCATTCGTTCGTTATCCACAAAGGTTTACCAGGGGGCCACATTCTGGAGTTAACTAAGGATTTCCGAAAGGTTATGGAACCATTTACTGCTACTTCCTTAAAGGTAAAACAACAAAATAAAAAAGGGAAAAGTTCAAGAATCATCATATAGCTTAAAAATCGATGATTTTTTTTAATCAATGTGAAATGAATCAAAAGATACGTTTAAAATAAAAAGAAAGTGCTGAAAAGTATATTAAAAAACTAGTTGCGTAGGACACGCTTGAAATGCACGAATTCAAGTTGAAAAACGAGTGTTAAATACTAATTCGCGTTTTTATCCCTTTTTTTTAATAAAAATAAAATAAATTTTGACAATGTAGGGAAATATATGTATGTAGCAGTTGGTAACACCGTAACATTTGAACATAGAAATTTAAATTGACAATTAGAAATTGTCAAAACACAAAATGTATTTACCTGAAAAAAATGTTTCATGTACACCTCCCACAATAAGAGAATTGCTCAGAGTTAATTAAAATTCATCAATGTTCAATGTCCTCATCATTGTGGATCTTGTATTCGATGCTAAGAACGTGTTTAAACATCCATAGACAAAAATTGTCACATTGATAATTAAAAATTAATGACCCAATGTAACCAACTTGAACTGGTTCCATAAAATGTTAATAAAATCTCATTACAGCACCCGTTTGAGTCAGGCGAAACCCGAATGTTTCTGGTTCTAGGTCTAGTGTTAGTTATACTTTTCTTTCAAGAAAAATATACCACAATCTAACGCTAAACAACATTTAAAACTAGTACTAACTCTAGATCTAGAACTAGAATCATTTGGGTTTAGCTCCACGTCTCTCAAGACGGCTAAACCCGAATGATTCCAGTTCTAGGTCTTGTGTTAGTTCTAATGATGGTGCTAGTGTAAAACTAGAACTAACATTAGACCTAGAACTAGAAAGTATCGGGTTTAGCCGTGCGTCCTCAGACGCACGGCTCTATAGACAGCTAAACCTAAATGATTCTAGGTCTAGTGTATTTCAGGCAATACGTTTGGTATTATCAAGTATTTTCGATCATCTTGTATAATATATGAAAATTGTTGCCTCTCATTTCAGTATATCAATGAACTGACTCGGCCGCAAGCGACTTCGGCTTACCTACATATATTAAATATTGTTAAAAATTGTTGCCTTTCATATCAATACAGGGTGTTTTAAAACAACGTTTAAATATTTATAGGGGTGGTACTACAGTCGAAAACAAGTCGAAAAATATTAATGAACATGGGTCTGCAAATCAACCGTTTTCAAGATACAGAATGTTAACATTTTTTGGGACTATACGGTTCTTCTTTTTTCTTCTTTTAAACTACTACAGATTTGATACTTGGCAAATCGATACAGCATGACACTGTCTCTTTTTGAGGGTAGCATAATGTCTCCATTGCTTCCGGTTGGTATAATTTATTCCATTATAAAATTTTCCGATTACCACACCAGTAATCTAACGCCAGTAATTTGACTTTGCGAAACCTGAAATGAAATCGATTGCAATGGTCTTGTATTCAAATGTTGAAATGGCTGATATGGTGTTTATGTACTGCCGTAACAATGGAAATGCTTTGTGAACAATTAACCCGTCCAAGATACTTTGATTTCTTGGAATACACTCTTACTCAACTTTTGGAAAACTTACCGTTAAATCAAAAACTAAATTTGTGGTTTATGCAGGATGGAGCTCCCCCGCACTTTACGCGTATTGTTAGAAAACATTTGAATGAAAAATTTCCAGCAAGATGGATAGGTCGAGGGGGTCCCGTTGCAGCCTGCACGTCTCCGGATTTTAACCCATTAGACTTCTGTTTGTGGGGCTACTTAAAAGGCTTAGTATACGCGACACCTATAAACGATCTTGAAGACTTGCGGCAACGAATTATATTAATATGTAATTATTGCGGACAATTATTTGAAAGAGTTCGGGCTTTCTTTGAACATAGAATTAGAAACTGTATTGATATTGCAGGTCGACATTTTGAACATCTTCAGTAAAAAGCTTCGTTTTGATGAAGCTTATGACCTTGTACGTTTTGTGAAACTTATAAAAACCGAAAGTATTAGTATTACATTGTGTCAATTCAATTTTTCTAATAATTTACTTTAAAAACTATGTTCTCTCTCGGAAACCTTCAGCAATACACATTTTGTTTTGTAATTAATGTTGTTTAGAATTAAACATCTAACCAATTGTTAAATAAAATTTTTGAATTTTCTAAAAAATAGTGGTATTTATCTTCACTTCCGGAAGCAATAAAAACATCATACTACTCTCAAAAAGAGACAGTTTCATACTGTATCGATTTTCCAAGTATCAAATCTGTAGTAGTTACAGTTTAAAAGAAAAACGTAAAGTCCGAAAAAATTTGATCATCGTGTATCTCGGAAACGATTGATTTGCGGATCCATGTTTATTAACACTTTTTGACTTGTTTTCGACTGTACCCCTATAAATATTTAAACGTTGTTTTAAAACACCCCTGTACCTCGACTTAATTAGAATAAACATCCTTAAAAATTGGTGCCTTTCATATCAGTATAATATCAAAGAATTGCCTCGGACGCAAGCGACCTCGGCTTAATTATGATAAATATCCTTAAAAATGGTTGCCTTTCATATCAGTGTAATATCAATGAACTGCCTCGGCCGGAAGCGACCTCGGCTTACCTATGTTAAATATTATTGAAAATTGTTTCCTTTCATATCAATACAATACCATTGGACTGCCTCGGCCGCAAGCGACCTCGGCTTACATATGTTAAATATTGTTGAAAATTGTTTCCTTTCATATCAATACAATACCATTGGACTGCCTCGGCCGCAAGCGACCTCGGCTAACCTATAATAAATGTTGTTAAAAATTGTTGCCTTTCATATCAGTGTAATATCAATGAACTGCCTCGGCCGCAAGCGACCTCGGCTTAATTATGATAAATATCCTTAAAAATGGTTGCCTTTCATATCAGTGTAATATCAATGAACTGCCTCGGCCGGAAGCGACCTCGGCTTACCTATGTTAAATATTATTGAAAATTGTTTCCTTTCATATCAATACAATACCATTGGACTGCCTCGGCCGCAAGCGACCTCGGCTTACATATGTTAAATATTGTTGAAAATTGTTTCCTTTCATATCAATACAATACCATTGGACTGCCTCGGNAGACACAAGCAAGAAATTTAAATATAAAGAAAAGTAGTTACAATGTTTTTACAAAGTTAATACAGAATTAAAGTGGTTCGCAACTAAACAATATCGCGCAACACGAAATCTTTAAACGAACGCAATGACAGCCCAAATAGAGAAACATGGTTGAAGCTCTGGTTGTAAGTATTAAGAACCCGTATGATTGGCGAATTAGAATAAGTATTCGTATTAGATGTGCGCAAACGAAAAGTGATATTATTCCGGGTGAAGCGCTGTGGAATATTAAAATTCAGCTCGGATAGAAGATCGGGGACATCCAGCATGCCGTTAACAATTTTGAAAAGAAATACCAGGTCAGACAAGAGCCGCCGTTGCCTTAGAGGCAATAGGTTGAAAACCGTACAGCGTCTGTCGTAATCGCAGTACGGAAGATAATATTTATACGCCAAGTGACGAATAAAGCGACGTTGAATGGCTTCGATGCGATCACGATAGACGGCGTACATGGGACTCCACACCACAGAACCACAGCTTAATACGCTATTTACAAATGCAATATAAAGGGACTTTGTACAGGTAACATTGGTGAAATTTCTGCTTATTCTGATAACGAACCCCAAGTTACGTAATGCTTTTTTCACCATAAGGTCGATATGAAGGTGGAATCGCAGTTTGGAATCAAGAGTAATACCAAGATCCTTCACTCTGTCAGTGGACGCAATAGCTCTGCCGTTAAAACTGTAATAAAAGTTAACCGGATATCGTTTCCATGTAAACGCAATTTTTTGACATTTGTCGTAATTAAGATAAAGTTTGTTGACGAGACAGTAGTCATGCAAACGGTCAAGGTCTTCCTGAAGCCGTAGACAGTCGAGACTTGATGTTATATTTGATAACATATTATAAATAAATATTTTATTATCATCTGCATACAGCAGGAATTTGGAAAACTTAAAGCAGGAAGCAATATCATTAATATAAATTAAAAATAATGTTGGTCTAAGATGGCTGCCTTGAGGCACACCGGAAGAGATGGACTTATAACTGGATAGAAAGCTACCAACCTTGGCTGCCTGACTTCTATCTGATAAATATGATATAATCCAGTGAACGATGCCATTTGGGATGTTAAAGGAAGAGAGTTTTTGAACAAGAATTGTATGGTCAATCTTGTCGAAAGCTTTAGAATAATCTGTGTAAATAGCATCGACTTGAGAGTTTTCATTTAGGGCAGAATGAATAAAATTAACGTAGGATACCAAATTAGTCTCAGTCGATCTATTCGTCTCTATCGATAATAAATATCCTTAAAAATGGTAGCCTTTCATATCAGTGTAATATCAATGAACTGCCTCGGCCGCAAGCGACCTCGGCTTACCTATGTTAAATATTGTTGAAAATTGTTTCCTTTCATATCAATACAATACCATTGGACTGCCTCAGCCGCAAGCGACCTCGGCTAACCTATAATAAATATTGTTAAAAATTGTTGCCTTTCATATCAGTGTAATATCAATGAACTGCCTCGGCCGTAAGCGATCTCGGCTTAATTATGATAAACATCTGAAAATGTGACTTACACTGATACTGTGACAAAATGTTGAGATTTCATTGTCATTTAAATTTGACATTTCTAAATATTTTTTAGTACCAACCCCAAAAAGTTAAATTTCTAATACAACAGCTAGCTAGAAACATTCGGGTTTAGTCTTTCAAGACAGCTAAACCCAAATGATTCTGGTTCTGAGTCTTGTGTTAGTTCTAGTAATAGTGTTAGCGTAAAACTAGAACTAACACTAGATCTAGAACCAGAAAGTATCGGGTTTAACCCAACCACAAAAAGTGACGTCACGTCGAAACCGTAAAGTGAATTTTCGGTAACTTTTACACTTTTCCGCACTTCTTTTTTATTTGTAACGGCTTACTTGAGCGATTTCCCGTCGATTAAAGAGCAAATTGTTGATTTTTAACCGACATGGTGATTCTTGAATTATACCTATAAACTAAATAAACTATATTTTTTTTTAAAGGAAAGGAAGAAAAATACAATAAAAGATTTCGTTTCCGTTGCCGGAATGTTACATGTAACTCACATGTGCATTTTTTCAAACACCGATATTGGAATGTATTTAAAAATAGCGAGATTTCCCCGTGGACCAACTCTAACGTTTAAAATTTGTAACTTTTCTTTATCTCGAGATGTTGTTTCATCATTAAAAAAACAAAATGTTGTTGAACAAGCATTCAAACATTCGCCATTAATTGTTATGAACAGCTTTAGTGGGGAAGGGGTTCAAATGAAATTAATGGCTTCGATGTTTCAAAATATGTTTCCAACTATAAATTTAACGAAAGTAAGAATATTCATAAAAAAATTTATAAAATAATTTTAAAAATTAATTTTTAGGTTGATTTAAATACAGTTCGACGATGCGTTTTATTAAATTATAACCCAACCACAAAACAAATCGATTTTAGACATTATAATATCAAATTAACCCCCGTTGGGGTCTCAAAAGGGGTCAAAAAAGTTGTCACTGGAAAAATACCAAATTTAGCTAAATGTGACGATATCGAAGATTTTTTAACAAAGTAAACATTTAATAAATTTCTTTAATTTTAATTAAATCATAAATTTTTAGAGGTGGGATTGTATCCGAAAGTGAATTCGAAGATGACCCAAACTTACACGTGACATTAAATCAAAAAATTATCGCTCGAGGAAACGTAGAAGAAGGAAAATCTGCTATAAGACTCACAGAGCTTGGCCCACGATTAACATTACAATTAATTAAAATAGAAGATGCTTTATTTGACGGAGAAGTATTGTATCATGATTTAATTTCAAAGACGGAAGATGAAAAAGAAGAAATAAGAAAGAAACGGGAGGCGAGGAAAAAATTAAAAGCGAAACGTAAAAGGATTCAAGAAGATAATAAAAAGAAAAAAGAACAAGCCAAGTTAGATAACAAAGAAAAATCTCTTAAAGGCATGCAAAAAAATCAAGAAAAAACTGAAAATGAAGCGGAGAAAAACGACGAGGATGATGATGCTGAATATTATAGGCAAGAAGTCGGGGAAGAACCTGATAAAGATATGTTTAAAACTGGCGTTAAAAGACCATTCCAAAAAACTTTTAATAAAAAGGATAAAGCTAAAAAGGTTAAGTTTAATGACAAAGAAGATAAAAAAGAATTTAATCCAAATATTAAAGGGAGGGCTTTTAAAGTTAAAAAGAAATTGGTACAACGAAAAGGGACAAAGAATTTGATGAATAGGGATAAAAGACCTGTTGGAATATTAAAAAATAGGAAATAAATTTAATAAATTTTACCATCATTATGTTTCTTACCTTACACAACCTACCAGAATAAATTAATTATAGTGGCAGTTACTAAATGGATATTTCGTGTGGCAAGTTAAGGAGAGTACACAATAGGAGAATCACACAATTAATGATAAAGACGTCCAATTCGAGACCAAAATTTAAATTTATAAACAAATTTATTAATTATTCTTTTCTAAGTACTCTTTCCAATTTTTATCCCTAATATTAGCGTCACGCAGTCGTTTTTCCCTACGCGTTTCTTCTCTCGTATCATAATATTTTGCCCTAAAATCCATTATCTCATTCTTTAAACCCTGAAAATCGGATGCATCTTTAATTTTTTCGTATGTTAATAATCGTCTTGAGGTGTGCTTATTTAGAATTTGTTCACTGTTTGCTTTTAGTATTAAACAATCGTTTGTTGGTAAACAATTTTCATCGTAATCATCTCTATAAACAAAAATATACAGTGAATTTCAGTAAGATGCAATACACAAAAATATATTCCCACATAAAATGCAACATGTCCTGCCCTATTAAGAATAAGAGTCGTATCTGCATCTGTTGCAGGTTTTGAGTTTTTTAGGTATATTACATCATGCCAAGGTTTTATGAGTATTTGTAATGTCAAAATGTCGTAGAGCTGTCACAATTGTGTACAAAAGTGTCCAAACTGCCTATTTTTAACTTTATATGTCGTATAACTGGTCAATAGCATGTGAGGTGAAGAATATGGCACACGTAATCTCTTAGTAACATAGGGATTATTTTTAGACAATAATGACTGTTAATATAGACCTACGCGAATGTTGCAGTTAGCAAAGAAAAACAAAGGGCTGGCCAATAAATGAAAACATTGGTTACCGAAATGGTCGATAACATGATAGGTGTCGCAATTGAGCAATCTGAAGAGCGAAAAGTCAATTTATATCAGCTCCACAGAGGTAAGGTATGTTAAGTCACAAATTCGAAATTGTTAAGGAGAGAAATTTAAAAGTGGACTTAACGTTTAAACAAATACACATGGTGGAGATTACTCATTTTGCAAAAAATGTGACTTAACACACCTTACCTCTGAGCTGCTGAAACAGGACAACTCCGAAAACGCAGAAGATTCAGTACGTCATTAGAAAGTAGAAAAAACAAAAATTAAAAACAAGAAAAACCAGCATTTAATGAAAGATCCATGTGGAAACATGTAATAAAAAAATTTGAAAAGAGGAACGTGCAAATGTATATTTAAAGTTTTGGCAATTAACAGATTTTGAGCAAAAAAACTTTTGTCTTAAATATGACAGAAAAGAAAAATACGAAAAGAAAGGTTTCTTTAAATTTACAACGGTTAACGAGTTTAACCTACAGGCTCAAAGATGATAGTGGTACAATACAGGTGGTATGTAAAATATTTTTTTTTGGCAACTCTTGGATATTTGTCTAACAATGATCGAATTATTCGAAGTGCATTCTCTTCTGCTGCGTCGCAGATATAAGCAGAAAAATCCCGAAAAGTTCGGTCTAGTTCATCGAAAAAGATAGATCGTTCTATAATTAAACCACATAGTTCAATCCTACAATTTCTCATTACAGTAGGGAGCACTCTTCTAATAGGAGATACCTTCCAAGTGATATCACCATAGATGATGTACAATAACTTCAAGTCAAAACATCCAACTATTAATTTTTTCTCTTATACTTAGTATAGTAGTAAAATAGTAGTAAAATGAATATTTCATTCGCTGCACTGGGACACGAAGAGTGCTTTGCTTGCGCAACATTCAAAAATCATCAAAAAAAGCACTAATCATGATTCATTATGTTTACGCAATGCGAAATGTTCAAGGAGGTGATTTTCGTACCTCATATAGCATTCAATGAAAGTATTGTTCCAATAGGAAAAAAACACAAAAAATTCCCCACAGCAGTAGTTTGGCATAAAGCGTTGACGGGACGATCTAAAGAAGACAATATTAGTGCTTTCTATGCCTTTTTTTTCTCGATAATAGAGATGTGGAAGCAAATGAAAAAAGTATATGAGATCACAAAGATACCGTACAAAAAGCTAACTGGTCTAAAGTGAAGTTAATTGAAATGAAAATTAACAATATTTTTAATTGGGAGGACAAGAGTTTTCAGTATAACTTAAGCAGAATAAAACCTCGGTCCTATTTAACCAAAATAGTGCAAGTTAATTTTGAAAAAGGGAAGCAGTCACTATCCTACAAATGCAAGTTTAATAAACAAGAGGCTACAATATTGATTTTTTTAATAGCAAAGCACAAAAAAAATGGTTTGGAAAGGCCTAAATGCAAGACTAACTTTCGCGACATAAGTCAAAATAGAAAGGAGACACTTATAAACTGTCTTCGTGGAATTATTCCCATTACCAGAATGAGCTTCTGGAATAATTTGCCTGTTTCCAAAAATAATATATTATTAAAAATTTCGGTTAATACACTGTTGTTTCGAATTTGTTAGCTACATGTTTTCGTTTTTAGTTACAATTACAAAATGTTGTTTAAGTTACACTGTATTTTATTAATTATTATTGTTATGTGTATTATTTTCACATATTGTGTGAAAAACCTGATGTTTTATAAACATTTCTTTAGTTGTTAACTGTTAAGTAAATTTGTCGTAACTAACAAAAACATATCGCTGCTCCCGTAAAACACGGACGCAACTGCAATTTTTTAGAAAATGAGTTACTCGCGTAAACTAACGCAGAATATTGCTATTTATCCGCTAAAAAAACGCCATTACCATTTATTGATAACAATTAGCAAATTAAACTGTTAAAAACATACAAATTAAAAAAAAAGATTTCGTTTTTTGCGTCTCTTGTAAAATTTACCGATTTCCAGTTACGTCCATATTCTTCTGGGGCAGCGATATTTCAAACTCTTAATTTGAAAAAAACTAGTTTATATTCTGATTCTATGTGAAAAATAAATAGATTTAGCTAATTTCGACTTCCTGAGTAATAATACTTAGGATGGCAAAAAGATAAACACGTTTTTCGCATTTTCTCGAAACTTCTAAATATGCAGATACGACTCTTATGCTTAATAGGGCAGCATACCTCTCTTAAAACAGCTGGTAGGTAGCGCTAATTAGCATAAAATATCACTGTTGCATATTTTTATTGAACTAAAACTAGAACTAACACTAGACTTAGAACTAGAAACATTCTAGGTCTAGTGTTAGTTCTAGTTTTGCACGAGCACTATCACTAGAACTAACACTATACCTATAACTAGAATCATTTGGGTTTAGCCGCACGTCTCTAAAGACGGCTAAACCCGAACGATTCTAGTTCTAGGTCTAGTGTTAGTTCCAGTTCCTAGAACTAAATCCAAATGTTTCTAGTTCTCGGTTTGTGTTAGTTCTACATAGTAACAGTGCTAATACACAACTGGAACTAACACTAGACCTAGAACTAGAAACATTCGGATTTAGCCGCACGTCTTTCAAGACGGCTAAACCCGAATGATTCTAGTTCTAGGTCTTATGTTAGTTCTAGTAATACTGCTAGTGTAAAACTAACACTATACCTAGAACTAGAAACATTAGGATTTAGCCGCACGTCTTTCAAGACGGCTAAACCTGAATGATTCTAGTTCTAGGTCTTATGTTAGTTCTAGTAATAGTGCTAGTGTAAAACTAACACTATACCTAGAACTAGAATCATTTGGGTTTAGCCGCACGTCTTTAAAGTGGGCTAAACCCGAACGATTCTAGGTCTTGTGTTAGTCCTAGTGATAGTGCTAGTCTAAAACTAGAACTAACACTAGACCTACAACTAGAAAGTTTCGGGTTTAGCCGTGCGTCTTCAACCCAAATATTTCTAAGTTCTAGGTCTAGTGTTAGTTCAATAAAAATATGCAACATAGTGGGTATTATAGTGATAGTGATTTTACATAGTAACAGTGCTAGTGTACAACTGGAACTAACACTAGACCTAGAACTAGAAACATGCGGGTTTAGCCGCACGTCTTTCAAGACGGCTAAATCCGAATGATTCTTGTTCTAGGTCTTTTGTTACCTCTAGTGATAGTGATAGTGTAAAACTAGAACTAATACTAGCGCTAAAACTACCATTCGGGTCTTTAGAGACGTGTGGCTAAACCTGAATGTTTCTAGTTCTAGATCTAGTATTAGTTCAAGTTTTAATTGTTATTTAGTGTTACATTGTGGTATATTTTTATTGAACGAAAGTAGAACACTAGACCTAGAACCAGAAACATTTGGGTTTAGACGTACGTCTCTTAAGACGGCCGAAAACTCAGGGTTATGATAAGGACGTCACCTTTTTCCAAGCAAAACTTTTCCTTTGCAAAACTACCCAATCCCTGTACTATTAAGCTATGTTGCATTTTATGTGGGACAGTGCAAGTACACTGTGTTAATTAATTATCGTAACCCACGTGACCTGTGTAATATTGGCTGCATATCTCAATATGTAGTGGTAGCTTGGATAATTTTAAATTAGTAACCAGATGTTGACAGCTAATCGTACGCTTTGTGAGTTTCCGTATTTTCTTTGTTCTTTAACAGTTTTTTGTTGCCTTTATAGTTTTTGAAACAGTTCTTTTTAGTAAATATTAATCGGAATTTGATATTAACATGTGTAACATATAAATGAAACAACCAGAAGGTGGGATATTACCATTACACGTTAAAGAACAGGAATAATAGAAAGGAAAAATTAGCGGCGCCGGGACTTAGATAGTTCTTTTTAAAAAACTATCGTTTTTAGCGGTTGCTTTAGGCGGTAAGTCAATAAACAAATCAAAATAACCACTACTTTCAACACTAATTTCAATCTATGACTACACTAAAAATTATTTTAAATAAAAGGACAAAAAGGTAGACCTTTTTTTATGTTTAAAATATTTTTTTAATTATTAAAATATATTTTAAACGGCTTTTAAAGTTAATGAATTGTCGCCATCGTTTTTAGGAACTTTCGTCGCGTTGCAATACCAATCTGTGATATTGGTTGCATACTTTGTCTGGTACAATAATTAATTAACACACTGTATATTGCACACATATAAACTCCCGGTATACATTTTTAAATACAATTTTTACCATAAATTTACCTATAAACTGGAAACCAACATACAAGACGTCCTCCTATTTTTAGATGTTTTACACAAAAATTAAGTAGATCATGATATAAATTAGAAAGACCATAATCGACTTTAGCTGGAATGTGTGTTGCTAAATGTTCTTCACTTATCGTATAATTAGATTTAGCTGTTCCTATTTTTTCTGTTGCTTCTCTAATTCCATAGGGAGCTAATAAACAAATTTAATCCATCTCATTATTAATAATTAACATATTAAACTTACGATCTGTAATTATAGCATCAAATAAAAAATTTTCTTTCCAATAACAAATTGTAAAATCATTTACTAATACGTCCAAGTATTTATCTTCTAAATTATATTGGATCATATTCGCTTTTACGCTCTCATCATCACTTCGTTTCTAACAAAAATTTTTTAATTAATTCAAAATTAATACTTTAAATTAAACCTACAGTTTGTTTAATTCTGGATGGTCGCGTCCGACCATGTAACATCAAATAATCGATATCAGCACCATAAACATAACCTCCGAATTGAGCAGCAGCCACTAATAATGATCCAGTCCCCACAAAAGGATCTAAAATGATATCCCCTTCTTGTATTTTAGCTTGATTAGCCATTAATAATGATAACTGAGGATCCATACTTGTATTTCCAATAAATTTTCGAGTTTTTAATGAGAGTTGATTGATCAAAGACCGTAAACCATTAGCTATCTTAAAAAAAATTTATTGATTGAAATTATAATCATTTTAAATTTTATCATTCTTTACCCATCTACCAAAAAAAACCATGTAAGGTTTTTCCGGTGGCGATTTAGGATCAACACCATAAAATTCAATATAATTAAAAACAACATCGGGGTTTTTTAAATTAACTTTACCTTCCACAGGTAAATAATTAAAAGTTTCCAACTTATCAACTTTTTCCTTTTGCGTGAAATGTTTACAAAAAGTTTCCACATCAATTTTAAAAGTTTTTTCGGCACTCATATAAGGTAACATTAGCGATTTTGGATAGTTTTGTACTTCTCGGTGTAAACCTGGAATGTTATCGGAATAGCCCCAAAGTTCGAGGGCGTATTTTAACGAAACCAAACGGTTTGAAAGAGTTTTTAAATCATTTTCATTTGAAAATTTCACCAGCCAATAAGGTTGCTAAAAAATAAAACGTAAATTTTGATTAAATTTGATGTAAACTAACCTCTAAAGTTGGCTCTTCCAAAAACGTCATTTCAATTTTGAGTAAATTTAATAAAGAATTTGTTTCCTAAAACTAAGATATAAGAATTTTGGTTTAATAATACTAAGAATATCACCTCTCTTCTAAAATTAATGTGATCTTGAGCGAACCACAATAAGTATGTTTTAAAATTACTCATTTTTTTGAATTTTTAGGTTATGTTTATTTTCTGTCATGTGTTCATGTGACGTTTATGAAGTTCATGTCAAATTAAAGAAAACATTCCATTATAATAAGCATTAATTTAAATTAAAATTTAATTGGATATTAATGAAGAATAACGAAAAATTAATTTTAATTAAGTATTAATTAATTATATAGTACTAAAGTACAATAAAATTAAATTTGCTAAAGACGTTAAGTAATCAAGAATGTACTCATTTTGGGGATTGTCCCTAAATATCTTGTATTTAAGGTGTTTAAAGACAACTTTTGACAATTCCTAATCAGTTAAGAACTCTACTAAAGTAATGAGATGTGATTAGAAATAGAACAATACATAAAAATGTATTAAAGTAATTTGGGTTGCATAACATTGAATTCAAAAATTTTACACGGTGTTGTTTATAAGCCAAAATATCGATACAAATTTGGTGTGTAAGCTTTTTTGTCTATAAGTGCTGATGTTAATTTTAGAATAAGTGTAATCTTCCTTGTTACATTTATGTAAAATTCGTTTTGTCGATAAGAATTCTTAAACTCAACCTAACCTCAAACTGTCAATTTTTGCATTATTAATTTAAATTTTTTTTCTAGATTGAAGATTTGGGATTTAAGGAACAAAACTGTTTGAATTTATAAAGGAAGAATTCATCTTTATTTAACAAAAAATTTGAAGTTTCTATTTATGTATGATTATCTACTATGGAAATACTTTGAATCTAGTTCTTGAAAACTTTCATATTGTAACTGATATAATGTTAAGTAATTGCCTTGTGGTACGTTATGACGTTGAATTTTCGTCCAAGTACTCTTCGCACTTCAATTCATTCGTCTCCTACAATAAAATTATCGTAGAACTAATTTTGATTTACTTAATACTCAACTTGCTCTGATAGACTGGAGGATGGAGCTGAGCAATAATGACGTAGACTTTTGCATTGATGTTTTCTATAAGCACTTACATAACGCCATTGAACAATTTATTCCTAAGTTTCGCAAGTATAAAAGAGAATACCCTTTCTGGTTTTCATCATTTACCATAAAAATAATCAATAAGAAGAGGGAGGCGCATGGGAGATGGAAACGTTATCGTTATCATGTTGATTACCTTACCTTTTCCATGCTGAGGAGACGGGCAAAGTTAACATGTTTAAACATGTTTAAAGTTAACATTCATAACAATTAATTATGAATGTTATGATTATTTCGTTTTATAAATGCACAGTGGAAGTTCTGATGATGAACCTGAAGTAAAAAGAAAATGAGGTATTGTAAATGAAGATAAATGTAAACGTAATGTCATAAGAAAAGCAAGACAGGTGAAGAGTACACAAACTACAAAGGTAACCTTGTTTCTGGTGAATCTATTCCTGATGAACTTGTGTGCAACTACCGTCGAAAATGTAGTTTGTGTATTGATAACGACACGAAAAGTGCACAAACTGTATTCTTTAGAAACTAAAAACCAACAAGATTTACATTTGCAAACATTGATAATAAATAATGATGATTGTAGTGCTGCTTCATTTTGTCGACAAAAAGTAAATCTTTTGTATAAAATATTAAAATCAACGGCGAATATACTCCAGTTTGCAAAAATGTATTTTTACAAATACATGGAGATTCTCGAGATAGAGTTGTAACGTTATGTATTCTATTAGTGCAGAATAGAACAGCTGTCGATATGAGAAGCAAAAAAAAGGGGAAATGCAATTGATGGCAATATAAGTGTCCTTATCCATGAACATATCTCTAAATTTGAGGTAAGAGAAACACATTATGGTTCTAGGAAAAACCAATATTTCGATGCACAGCTAAATATCTCAATAATGTAGGAAATGTTCCAAACCTACCATCCTTAGTTGACAGATAAAGTAAAATATAATTTTTATTATAGTTTAAGACTAACTTCAATCTAACATTCGGGCGGCCGTAAGTTGAAGTTTGCAGCCAATGTGAGAATTTCAAATCCAAACTAAGATACAGCTGAACAAATCGTTCACAAGCGCAGAGCCAAGAAATTTCATACAAAACAAAAAGATTAACAACACTGATGACGATACTGGTGCTTTGTTTTGATCTTATGCAAAATTTACCACTACCAAACATATCTGTACAGGAGATATTTTACATGCGCTAGATTTGGCTTAATGTATTTTGTATTCATGATATGAAGACTAACAAGGAAAAAATGTATATATGTATATCACGAATGCCAATAAATCCCCACAGGATGTTGTTGCACTATTTGAAAACTGCAGTTCCTAGTGGAATTAAACATCTTGTTCTCTTCAGGGCAAAACAAAAATCATTGTATTGTGCGATTTCTAATAAATCTTTATGATAGGAGAACTTTTAAGACTGCTCGTCACTACTTCCCAGACAGGGGACACTCATTCTTACTCTGTGATCGTGATTTTGGGTGTATTAAACATCTTGTTCGAAGAGTAGATAGAGTTTACACACCAAGTCAGTATGCTGAGATGATTTTTAAATCAACTAAAACAAGGCGTTTTACTATTCATCAAGTACATTACATTACATAGACTACATATCGGGTAGGCGGACCAACCAACCTTGCACCGCGACCCTAAGGATCTATTGTACCTCGATATCGTTATCAAATTTCACCGTGCAGTCCAATGCTTTTAACGAACATTAATACCTTGCTTTGTGAAAGGTCATTCAGATCCTTTGAGGAGATAAACTGCGACCCAAAAATCGAAAATCTGATACGGTTAACGGCAGGGCAGTGGCATAAAACATGCTCAATAGTCTCTGCTTCCTCCGAATATAGTTGGCATTCAACATCGTCGGCTAAACCCAACAAGTTGAGGTGTGCTTTTAATCGGCAGTGCCCAGTAAAGACACCCATTAGAACTTTTATGCTGCTACGGGCAAGTCCTAAAATATTCCCGGGTTTGACAGTGGCGATGTTAATAAACACTTAGCATGTCTCATTCCAGGAGAACTGGTCCACAGCAGGCGAAGTCTCTCTTCAGCTCACAGTCCAATTCTATATTTGGCCATCGCAAATGATACACCAACTGATTGGTCCGGCCCCACAACCGCTTTAGCGCTGCCCTCTCGTGCTAGCTCATCTGCTGCTTCATTGCCAGCAACCCCAGAGTGACCCGAGACCCAGATCAGAGAAACTCTGTTATCAAAACTCAGTGTTTTTAATGTTCTCTTACAATCATTAACCAGAGCCGACACCGTTTTCACGGCTTGCAGCGCCTGGAGAGCGGCTTGACTGTCTGAGATAATTCGTGCTATCATATTCTTCACCCCTCTCTCAAGAAGGATTTTAGCACCCATGTCAATAGCAAATACTTCGGCCTGGAATACAGTACAGTACGTACCTAGACTGTAAACTGTAAGCTCCGACCCCTTCCGGCGTTTTTTATCCATCTGTGAACATGCAAATATCTACCTGAACCAGAGAATTTTCATTTTGGATCTAGGACTGCCGCTCAGGTAGTACAATCTGGTATCGAGCATTAATCATTAATCATTGTTGATAATTGATAATGTCTTCCGCAGCCCATTGGTAGGACATGTCGGAACAGATTTGAGCAGATTGCTTAAATCTGTAAATGGTTGTTCTAGCCACTTTCTCTCAGAGGAGATAGGCAAAGCAGAACCTTCATTGCTAGAGTTGGCGTTGTAGGTACTTATCGTACCAAAGATTGCCAATCCAGCTACTTGTTGAATTCGTGAAAGTTTACTGATAATTGAACTCTGTCCGGACTTTCCTATACCAGACTGCTGCTCCGTATATGATCATAGGTCTAACCACATTGACATAGCTCTATGTACAGTCTTTCAGGGGTAAGACCCCATTTTTTTCTACAAAAATTGCGACAAATCCACAAAGATAGTCTAGCTTTGTGCAAAACTCCCTGCAAATGTCCATTCCATGACAAGGTTTTGTTTAGAATTACTCCTAGATATTTGACTTCCTTTGAGAAAGGAATTTCTTCACCTTCCACCCAACTTTCGTTTCTTGATGAAGGGCACAACAATTGTCTTTTGCGGGTTTATCGAGAGGTTTTCTCCCTTANACACTTGGAAATTTTAAATCAAAACAATTGGTTGCCATGGTTACGCACGGCTACTACTGTTTTCTATATCAAATGAACGGGAAATAATGAAACTTTAAATTAATTTTTCTCGAAAATTTTCTTATGTAACCGATATTAATATTTATTGTACATAATTCAGAAAAAAATCCTCCTTCAAATTCCGATATAAAAAATGGGGTGTTCCATTTAAAAAAAACTTCGATGACGTCATAATTCGATTAAAAATGGCGGAAAAATTTTAAAATATACACCAAAAAATTGCACAAATTTTAAATCATTAGACCCGTTTCAGCGATTTTTTCATAAATTGTTTGTAATGATTTTATCGAATTTATCCGTTCCTTTTGAAACGCACTGTATATTTTTGTTCTATTTTTTGTTGTAATTTTCTCGGCACAGCTTTTTCTGGGTTCTCCTGTTCTGTGCCCAACTTGGTGTGTAAAGTAAATAAAATAAATCTTAAAAATTAAAAACATACATAAATTTTTAAATGTCAATTTTTTGCATTATTGACAAAAATGTTTTTTTAAATAAATATTAGAGATTTAAGGAATAAAACTTTTTGATGTTATAAAATAAGAATTAATCGTTACTTTGATATAAATTTGGATTAACAAACAAAATTAGTAAAATTCTTTATAATCTGGTGAATTTTATTTTAAACACCTGGTAACACTGTTTTAAACAATTCATTTCTTTAGTTTGCGGTGCAGATCCATTACCACTACAACTATCGACCGAAATTTATCATTTTTTCACCTTATTATTTAATAGTACATTGCTGTGATTTAATACTGCATTGGTAAGATACTTTTTATAACTAATTTAATTTTTTGATATAATTAGTTAGTATAACTTTATGATGCATCTAAAATTACATAAACCAAGAACATAAACGTTTTAGGGGATGTCTCACTTATCGTATTTAAATCTTGAACCAACTTGAAGCTAGCAACTAAGTGAAATTGAGAGTAATATTTAAATTTATTATGTTGATATTAATTAGAACAAATACATATTTTTTTATCAACAAGTTTCTTATGTAAAAAAAATAACTTGATATCGAATACTTGTTAACCGAGTTTGATAATGATATTAAAACACAATGGGTAACGAGATATGCTTGTTAAAATTTCTTGTTTATCAAATAGCATTCTTTAAATTTGATTCATTCACTTTAAACTAAGGATCTAATTCGAGTTTTTTCTTTTTCTGTTTTTAGTCTTTTTTATATCACTCAGAAGAAAAACATAAAAATGTTTCGTATTCCTGATCCGCTTCAAATTTTGACCGAATTTTTACACGAAAACTACGAAAATCAAACACAAGACAGGATAACCTCGCTACATTTAGCAGCGGGGAATGGCCAATTAGATGTAGTCGCTAATTTATTACAAAAAGGATTAAGTATTAACTCAAAAATTAAATGCAACGGTTTCACCCCTTTATATTTTGCAATTGCAAGTAATCGCTTGGAGATGGTTCATTTTTTGATTAAACACGGAGCGGATGTCAATCATAGAGCTATTTTAGGATTGACTCCTTTAAGTATTGCGTCGGAACAAGGGTACATAGATATAATTAAAACTTTGCTTGCAAATGGGGCTGATATTAACACCAAAACGGATAAGCTAAACACCCCATTACACATAGCTGTAGATAACGGTCATGTAGACATAGTAAATCTTTTAATTGAAAAAGGATTAAATGTAAACGCCCCAAATTTTGAACGAACAATTCCGTTGCATTACGCTATTCAAAACGGAAATCGTGATGTGGTTAAAGCTCTAATTTTGCACGGATCTGATATAGACGCTGGATCATCCTGCATTGGGAATAACTTTAAAGTTGTAAGAAACGTAACCCCGCTACATTTGGCAACTCAAACCGGGAAATTCGATATTGTTGTAATGCTCCTCGAAGCTGGAGCTAACGTTAATGTAAGAACAAGCGATAGGTTTACACCTTTACATTTAGCGTCTCAATACGGCTTTTTAAACATAGTTGAGATTTTATTAAAAGCCGAATCGTATGTTAACCCAAGAAACGTAGACAATATTACACCGCTTTATTTGGCGGCTGAACGTAATTATTTCAGCATAGTTAAATCCCTCCTCCTCGCAAAACAAATTGATATTGATGCGAAACGCTACGATGATTCAACAGCTTTACACGTAGCGACAAAGAATGGCCATTTCGAAGTTGTTGCGCTACTTATAGAGAATAAAGCTTGCGTTAATGCCAAGAATAGCGAAGGATTCATCCCTTTGCATTTAGCACTTCAAGAAAAACAATTCGAGATGAGCGATTATTTGATTAAAAATGGTTCGGACGTAAACGCCGTGGACAATTTGAATTGGACCCCTTTACATAATGCGGCACATAGCGGATTTTCTTTGAAAATAGTAAAGAGTTTAATTGGGAAAGGGGCGAAAGTAAACGCAAAGATGAATGATGGCAAACAACCCCTACACTTAGCATCCGAAAAGAATTACATTGAAATAATAAATTGTTTGATTGAAAACGGAGCGGATGTTAATGCGGTAGATAACAACACTTGGACTGCCTTGCATTATGCGGCTTATGAAGGAAATTTAGAGGTTGTTAAAATCTTATTTGAAAAGGGGGCGAATATAAACGTTAAAACAGCTATGAGTAACACCCCTCTACATTTTGGTGTACACCACATTCATTTAAAAGTAGTCGAATTCCTCCTAAAAAAAGGAGCCGATGTTAACGCATTAGATGACACAAACAAAACCCCTTTGCATTTCGCCGCCGAAAAAGGCTACGACCAAATTTCTAATCTCTTATTGGAACACGGAGCTAGTGTGAATCTAAAAGAAGCGGTACGTAACGGTACACCCCTTCATTTCGCAGCTTTATACGGTCATCACAAAGTAGTCAAAATCCTCATCAAAAATAAAGCGAACGTTAACGCAAAAGAAATCAAAGAAGCAACTCCTTTACACTTAGGAGTAGGAAACTTAGACGTAGTAACCTCCCTCCTAACAAACGGATCATATTACGACGCCAAATTTGGCACAGGAAAACGAGCAAAACCATTAGATTTCGCCAAAGTAAAAGGAAACCAATCAGTTATAAAACTACTAAAATCAATCGAGAAATTATTTAAAGCTGTAGAAACCAATAAATACTTAGAAGTTGAAAGAAGCATCAGAGAAGGGGCTATAATTGATGCAAAAAACGTTACAGGAAGAACTCCGTTACATATCGCTGTTAATAACGGAAACACAAAAATTGTTAACATCTTATTAAAAAGTCGAGCTGATCCTACTAAAATCAATAATAAAGGAAACACTCCATTACACACGGCCGTTTTAAAAGGGAACAAAGACATTGTTAAACTTTTATTAGAAAGTGTAAATCCTAATAAATTAAGCGATTTTATTAATACGAAAACAACAGCTAAACACAACACCTCATTACATGTTGCTGCTGAAAATGGGTTTTTCGAAATTGCACAATCTTTGTTAAAATATGGTGCGATTTATAACGTTAAGAATAAAGATGGCAAAACACCGCTTGATCTATGTCAAAATCAAAATATTATTGACTTATTGAAGTTAATTGGGGAGTTTTTTGAGGATGCAAATGATAATTTGGATATTATTGGTAAACTTGAAGTAACAACAGTTGATTTAGCAATTATTTTAAATGCTCGTAATGATAAAAATAAATCTTTTATTGAAGTTGCTGTGAGTAATAAGCATAAAGATCATAATGAGTTGTTAAAAATATTAAAAAGATTAGATCAAGATTTATAAAATACGTTAATTATATAATATAAATTATTATTGTATTATTATATTTTACTAACATAAACATATTAGAAATACATCTGTAATGTATTTAAGTATTTAATAAATCTATTCTTACTAAAAAAGTAATCATTTTTTATTAATTTATCGATTTTGACTTTTAAATGATTTAAACCTAACTAAAAGTAACTAACACTACACCTAGAATTTAGTGTTAGTTCTAATGCTAGTGTTGGCTTTAGGTTTAGTTGTTAAGGCCGGTATTACAGCGTATAGGTATAACAAGTAAGGACAAAGACAGAAAATTGCGAATTCAAATCTGATTCGCACGCGCTAGGTTTAGGCTGAGTTCGCTTTATCTTCGCTGGCGGCGCTAGCTTATGTCACTCTTAAACGTTGTCGAGCGTTGTTCGCCAGCCAGTTTATTGTATGGTTTTTGCTATTGTAATAAACGTTAGTGAAGTTAAAATGAGTGAGTGTTGTGTGAGAAATTGTTGTCATACGTTTTCGTTGACAAAGAACACACATTTATTTCGGTTTCCGAAAGATAAGGAAAGGTATGTATGTTTTTGTTTGCCCCAATGCAAGCAAAAATATAAGTCAGGAATTAAATCCCCTATAGCTTACACAGCATACAGCTTACAGCATATTAGCTACTTTTTGATTGTTCTTCATGGGGTTTCATTTTAGCCATCTACTTTTGAATCACCTGTATTATGTTCTTTGCTTCTTTGTTTCTGTATTTCTGTAGGGCAAAGCAATGGGGTGAAGTATGTGGCTTGTTACCTTTAGTCATGAATAAGTTAAAATTTGGATTCCTCATGAGTAATACTTCGTATAAAGTGTGCAGTCGTCATTTTCCGGACTCTGCTTATCGTGGAGAAAGTAGGAAAAGACTATGTGACGATGCAGTACCAACGTTAATGTTGAACAAGGAGGATCAAATTACTCGTAAGTTTAATGCATCTATTCATGTATAACAATTATACTATGCTTAACATCAACGCCAGAAATTAAGCATTTGTAATTAATATTTTATATTTACTTTGTAGGACATCCCTTACAGTCCACCTCTAATGATGAGAACTTACCATCTGAGGAAGTTGTTATGCAACAAACTTATAAAGACGATCAAGTACCTCGTAAGTTTCTTTGCATATTTCTGTTTTTTGTGCAAACATTATCAAAATTATAATAGATTTGCACAAAATAGAAACAGGTCAGCTTATTTTCTGTAACCAATATGTTATTTATTTATTTTTAAGCTTCTCATTCGGTAGGAAACCAGACGCCAATCACCTTATCAGCTCACAGTCCCCGTAAGAAGAAGTTACGGGACAAGATAAAAACTTTGCAGCGACAAGTTAACCGTTTGAAGCTACAATTGCGGGAAGAACGGGAAAAAAAGTCAACTTCTATCGCTGACCTCTCTAATCACGATTGGGAAAGGTTGCTGTATGAACGCTTTCCACCTGCAATTGCGGCATTTATTTACCAGCAGTATAAGTTAAATACCAAAAGCAAGGGTGTTAGATATTCAGTACATTTCAAATATTTTTGTTTGAAAATTTATTTTTTAAGTCCTAAAGCATATTATTTTTTGAAATCTTGCTTTAAGTTCCCCTCAAAGAGAACTCAGTCACGAATGACTCATGAGATTGTGCTAAATCCTCGGCTAAACGATCTGGTATTTCAAACTTTAAAGCTGAAAGTTGTTAGAATGCGTAATATTGATAAAAATTGCATCATATGCTTCGATGAAATGTCAATAAAAAGTCACCTATTTTACAGCGTAAGTACAGATGAGGTTGTGGGGTTTGAGAATATAGCAAGCAGGAAATCCTTTCTTCCTGCCCTAAATGTGCTCACAATTATGGTTAAAGGCTTAGCAAACAATTGGAAGCAACCTCTAGCATATTTTTTTGTTAATAGCGTTTGCTCTGCCAGTGATTTGAAAGGCATCTTAGAGGCCACCATAGAGGCACTGACTGCAATAGATTTGAATGTGAGGGTGCTTTTAAGCGACATGGGGCCTAGCAATATTAAATTAGCAGGTCTCTTAAATATAACAGAAAGGAAGCCATTTTTTGAAATAGAAAGCAAAAAAATCTATTTTATGTATGACCCACCCCATATGATAAAAGCACTACGAAACCATTTTTGCACATAATCTTTGTTTCGCGATTCCTGAACTTCTTCCGAAAGACAACGAATCGGTAGAAGAGCAGGTTTTATTACAGCCGAACCATGCAATAATACTTTGTGGACGCTAGGAGGCATACGGTACCAATTATACAATTGCACATACAACTTAGCAGTTTCATAGGCGTATTGTTGAAACTTTTCATAATCAATTTCATATCCCAATGAAATTCCTGCTAATATAGAATGAAATCTTTGCACTAAATGTGGATCCACACCAGTGATTTCAGATGCCTTCTCTGAATGTTGAAAAACCTACGTGCTACATTTCCTGTGTTTGATGTACCTTTGCCTTGTACAACACGGTCAACTTTAATCCCTATTTCTTCCCACAAGCGTGTTTGCAGCAGTTTTTCCTTTCATTAATTAAAAGTTTTTGCTCGGCTGTTAATCTGCGCGTTGTTTGAGCAACATTTATGCGATATGCTATATGTAAACAGCACTCCAGGAATTTGATCCATGCGTGAAGAGAGGATAGACCATATTGTAAGTTTTCTTCGCGAATGTCACTTTTTTTTATATAATTTAAGTCATTCATTTGTGTAGGTTTACACCCACATAAATAGCATACTTGAGATGCAGTTTTCGTAAGGGCATTTATAACCTTCCCATCTATCATTGTCATAATTAAGGTATAATCAACTTCTGTTTGGCCGAGAGAAACTGTGAATGGTTTTAAATTTTTGATTTCTTCTTCTCTTCGTGTTACTTCAATTCTAGTGTTTTCGCTAGTCTCTTTCTCTAGAAAGATGGATATGATGATAGATTTATGACATAGAACTATGATAGTGTAATACCGGCTTAAGTCAGGGCCGTTCTAAGATGTTCGACACCCCAGGGCTACTAAAAAAAGAGCGCCTCTTTTCATACGAAAATTCAGGTAATAAAAAGACATACAAAGATAAACAAAAGTATCAGAACGTCAAGAAGTCAAAATATTTTCATTGCACTAAACAAAGTCAACATAATGAACAAAAACAAACCATGTATTACCTTTAATTACATCAAATTGCAAAAAAAAGAATCTTATTAAGAATTTTTAAAAAGATTTTATAAGAATGCTATTAAGATTGTGGGTGAGATTTTCAACAGAGACATGATTTTACTCTTTGTATCAGATGCTGCTCCTTACATGGTAAAAGCAGCTGAGACCATACAAACGTTTTATCCAAAAGTGACACACTTAACTTGTTTTGCACACGGGCTTCATCGAGTTTGTGAGCAAATTCGAGTTATGTACAGGTTTGTCACGACGAGCTGAATCTATATGTATGTGGCAAACTACTGGCACTATTTTCCTGAAAATTTGCATATAGCGTTTATCCAAGGTGTTTGTTTCAGCTAAAATATTTTCAGTTTTCTCCAACTTCCGGTTATACCGGAAATGGACCCCAACTTCCCCGCTAAATTTTAATATAATTTGATATAAGTCATCATATGTCTAGAGTCCACCATCTTGTAATTATTTTAGTTTTCTCGAAATTTTGGCAGATGCAATCCTTCACAATAAAAATAATTTTTCGAAATTACACTCGAGTACGGCCAAATATTCTCAGGGTTTGCACAGAGAGGACCAATAGCTTACATAACCCTTGAAAAGTTTTTTAAAAAATTATACAGGATGGTCAGAAATTTGCGCCGAATTTCCCTATCTAGAAAAGTCGAAAACTTCATTTTTTTTAAATGACAACCCCAATTTTTTCCTTCATCAGCATATTGTACGCTGAAAAATAAGGGAACTTTGTCATTACATTCCTATATCTAAAATGTATGGTTTTCGTAGACGTTTGAAAAAAATGAAATATTCTTCATTATTAGTACATTTAAAATTATTAGTTGGTTTTGGTTTGAGGGAACTGATATGAAACAAAAGCTATTGAACGCTAGAATGTAAGGAGACTTTGTGATTAACATCAAAACGAAGGAGTTTGCAACTTTCGAAGATACAGCCCATTTTACTCAAAGCCCGATCTCCACACATTTTGTAACTTTCATAATAGAATAAAACTTATAACAGAAATGACGGTACTACAATATAAATGAAGAATAAAAAACAAGAACAAACAATAAAATCAGACTTGATTTTCATTGCATCAAATTATGGCTTCCTTAACTCATCAATAAAAACCTTGGAAACAGTAGGGATTCCGCTTTCTACACAGGGCATAAACAGTGAAGCTGCTAAGTTAGTAAAGAAAAAAATGTTTATAGTTATTTCAAAAATCATGGTTTTTCTATTTTGAAAGAAATTTTTACATGTTTAAGTAAAGGATCCACAGAAATAACCTCAGTGAAGCATTAGCATTTAAAATTAATTTGCACCTTCAACTTCAGTGGAAGTGGAACAAAGTTTCTCAATGTATAAGAATGTTTTATGAGCAAACAGATATTGTAATCAAAATTTAAGCTAAACCTATTTCTGGTTTATTTTCTATTTCTTTCTATTTGTCTTTTGTGTTTTCTTCAATATTTTCTTATTCTTTTTTAGTTTTTATAAGTCGAACTAATAAACATCTCGTGTATAGAAGTAGATATCATTTTTCAATTACTTTGTTTAACCTCACCTACAGATTTAAAAGATATTTTAATATTTAATTCCAGTTTTTTATTGAGCATACTTTCATACTTAAAAATATATTTTGATTTTCATAGAATATATATTAAGCACTAAAAACTAGTATTTTTGGAGAATAGTTTTGGTTGCCCTATTTATTATATAAATATGTATATGAATTTATTATTGAGACAATTAAATCCCTTCAGATTTGTAAAACTGAAATGACTCTGCATTTCGTTTTGACTGTACAAACTTTTGTAAAGAATCGTATAATCTAAGAATGGTTTCAAGTGTAATATCAACTTTTTGAGATATGTATTAGTTTTATCTATAATTTCTAACATCTAGCTCCAAAATGCTACCATAATGCCAGTTTCCAGTGAATTGAATCCATGTAACATTTAATTCGCTTTAAATTATTTTTCCAATAATTAGTACTTTTTTTTAGTGACATAATTGAATAATTTTTGAAATATTCACTATTTTCTCTAAATCGATTGACAAATATGCGGGTGTTTTGTGGCCCAATCACAGACTGGGAAATCCGGAACAAATTCCCTGGGACCAGTAAACGACATAAAAACTTTTTTTAAGAGTTTTATGTAGAAATAAATAAGTGTTTGTCCAGATAAGATGCCAAATGTGGCATGTAGAAACGTAAAACCGGTGCATTGGCGATTCGGCGCGACGTCGCGTCGTGTCGTGGCGTCATGACAAATTTCAAGCTTACAAAATAAAAACTACAAAAAAAAAATTCAAAAATTAAGGCGCCCCTAAAGAGCTGGCGCTCTAGGGCTATAGTCCTTTTATCCCTTAGGTTAGGGTGGCCCTGCTGTTAAGCATTTCCTAATTCAAAGGCCAAAGGGTGAAATAATAGTTACCTCCTCATATCTGACGTCACGAACGAGTCGTCAAACTATGCACTTGTTTTCCAGATGTAGCAGTCCTCTTATTCTACCGTCCTTGTTTCCAACCTACAAATAAATATTATAAATAATAAGATTAAAAAAATTTCATTTTCGTGTTCTAAGGATTGTTGGTTTCAATTTTCGAACTATGGCAATACTGGGGGGCATTAACAGTTATTTGTATGATAAGACTAAAACATTTATCTTTTATTCGTCGACAGAGATTCCTTTCAACGCTTCTTCATTTCAAATTTAATACATTGTATTTGTTTACTTCATCTCATTCAACCAAATGCGAATATTATCTCCGTTTTCTCTTTATGCGGTATGAACTAACCTTCTGTTATAATCGGGGAAGTCCCTACGTATAAGCAATACTGTCGACGCAAGCGCAAATGAATAACCCAGGTTAATAATCGTGTTTCAACTCGTTTTGATTCATTTGTGCTCGTTTGTTCTTCGAGAACAGAGTTGATTAAGGTATTAAAACCTAAATAGTTGTGCTTGTATAGTTAAATTATTAACCGGTACATTGCTGGGTAAGAGATACAACATTTTATTATTAATTATCAATGATTAAATAATTTCGTTGGGACTTTATATAAGTATTGATCGTAACCGTTTTTAGCTGCGGTATTCCCCGTGTCTTCGTTAAAGGCGACTTAAAATTTGCAATCAAGGCTTAACTGGGATTTTCTGAATATCTAAGAGCGGAATCTTGTTATAAAGGTAAGAAATTTTTAGTTTTACATTCAACATAAATATTTCAATGACTAATTTCATTGTTTCTACCTTTCATTGTTTATATAAATCTAAAATTCGTTTCATATCTGGGATGTTTAATCAGAGATGATAAGTATTGTTATATGTAGCACTGATTCCTCTGGGCATTTAAAATAAATAGACAATCCAATGATTATAGTACTCATGATACATGAATTTAACATCATCAATCCCAAAAATCTTGAATTATTTAGTTCTAACATATAAAAGTACATAAACTGAGAAATCGATTAACAATATTTTTCATCTTAGGATAACATAGATAGCATCTGTGCTTAACTTATTCTGTATAAATCAGATGTACAGTAAAAATAAGTCACTTTAAATTGCAAATTAAACAATAAAATATTCATTTCGGAAACTTTGCAGCTTTAAATCCAAAAATAAGCTATTCTTGAGAGTTATTACTTGAGTCATCTGATTCTGAGCAACGTATTATCGGCAGATTGTTACACTAAAACCGATTTTTCTTAGAAATGAAACTATAAATTAATTATTAAATAAAATTGTTAAACCTAACCTAAAAAAGTCAAAATCTTTCCTAACGCTCTTTTTAGTTATTTCTTTGGCTGGAATCTATTCATCGAAATCATATTCATTTTAGCAACCACTTCTTTTTTCATTTTAATTTAAAAAAGATCGCGAGTCGCCTTCATATCACTGAAAATTTGGTGCGTTTTGAAAACATAACCTATATTGTAACATAACCTCACTTATTTTCATATAACATGAAAAAAAAATTTGATAATAATACTAAAGATGTGTTTCATTACAAATATTGATAGCTGTTGTATCAAAACTGTTAATTGCAATATCATATAGATGATTTTTATTTAAATTTTCAATATTCATCTAAAATTCTTCCAGTACTCCTTTTGAAATCTTCATTAATAAGGTTGTCTTTATGACATTTTCAATGAGTTAATCGCCCTAATGTTTCTTGTGTTTGGATTTTGTTGTAATACATATCATCTTTCAATGAAGGATCAGAGTTGATGATCATCCTTGTAACTCGCTTTATAATCCTGTGAATTCTCTTGAGCTTTTTAATGATTAAAATTAAATTGATACAAAAGGATTAAGAGAACCTTAATGGGAAATTCATCGATAATTAGTTTACCTCTAGTTATTATTCAATAAGTTGGGTTGGATTCTTCTATTAAGTTATAAACATTGTGTATTTCAACTAATATTAATAATTAGTAATTTATTAATTACACTGTTAAAACATAATTTTATCTCATTGATTTCAATTAGTAGAGGTTAAAGACGCTCATTTTTAGGTTGACAACTATTGACAACTCAACTACAATGTACAGGGTGGTTCAAATTCGATGTCCGAATAGGCTATCTCGGAAACTATAAGAGTTAGAAAGAAAGTAGCTTACATGTCATGATCTCGTTTTTCGAGAAACTGCTAATGCCAAAAACCCCAAAACGCTATCGTCTATTGTTATTCCCCTAAACGCCAAAATTGAAAATATCGTAAAACCAGCAAGTGCAATTATCTTGGTTATTATTATAGGTGCAGTATTATAACTAAGACATTATATGGACACGTTTTTACAGATAATCTGATGACGTAGTCAAATAGTATATTAAAAAACAAGTTTCGTAAGACACGCTTGAAATGCACGAATTCAAGTCGAAAAACGAGTGGCGAAGCCACGATTTTTTTAATGAATGAGTGCTTTAAGTTTTATGAAACGTGTTTTTTATGCTATTTTTTGTAATTCGCGTTTTTATCCTTTTTTTTAACAAAAATAAAATAAATTTTGACAATGTAGGGAAATAGGTATGCAGCAGTTGGTAACACCGTAACACTTGAAAATAGAAATTTGAATTGACAATTAGAAACTGTCAAAACACAAAATGTATTCACCTGAAAAAAATGTTTCATGTACACCTCCCAAAATAAGAGAAAGTGCTCAGTGTTCAATGTCCTCATCATTGTGGACCATGCGATGCTAAGAACGTGTTTAAACATCCATAGACAAAAATTGTCACATTGAGAACTAGAAAAATTAATGACCCAATGTCACCAACTTGAACTGGTTCCATAAAATGTTACTAAAATCTCATTACAGCATCGGATGCTGTAAGGAGTCTCATTACAGCACTCGTTTGAGTACCGTTAGAGCTTTCGTTACCGTCGCGAATTACAAAAAAAATTTTTTCGGTTTTAGATTTTGAGATATGACAATTTTAATTTTTTTTAATGGAAATTACCACTGATTATTCGCTTATTAAATTCGTTATTTTTTCTGATTGCAAAAATATGGGATTAGATAGGTCTATTTCTTATTGTTTTAGAATAAAGCTAAAAATAAACTTTTTTTTAGAAATAAAATTTACAGTTTCCTGTAAATTACGGTACTATAACTAAAAATTATTCTACTAAAAATTTATATAAAATTTACTTTATTTTCTAATATGTAACATTCTAACATATTAAACTTTTCATAATTTTCGTAATCCATCTTAAAAAACAGTATTTTTAATTTGACACTTCAGAAAATTTTTGAATACAAACAAATGTTGCTATGTTTATTTGAATTAATAATAATATTAAATATTAATAAAAAATGTGAAATAATGCAATCTATTCCAACTTTTGTGTAAAACAAATATAAATTAAATTGTTTAACAAATGTATTTTTAATTTTTAGTTATAATTTACAGGAAACTGTAAATTTAATTTCTTTGACACAAAAAAAAAGTTTATTTTTAAACTTTTTTGTTTTATTCTAAAACAATAAGAAATAGACCTGTCAAACCCTATATTTTTGTAATCAGAAAAAAGTTCTCTGGAAAAAAGTGTCCATATAATGTCTTAGTTCTAATACTCCACCTATAATTATAACCAAGATAGTTGCACTTGTTGATATTTTCAATTTTGGCCTCTAGGAGAAAAACAAAAGATGATAGCGCTTTGGGGTTTTTGGCATTAGTAGTTTCTCGAAAAACGAGATCATGACATGTAAGCTACTTTTTTTCTAACTTTTATAGTTTCCGAGTAAGCCTATTCGGACATCGAATTTGAACCATTCTGTACATAACCTTACTTATTCTTTAGTATGGATTTCCTTTTAATAAAATATAAATATAATAATAAAAATACATAAATGTAATAGATAACTATTATCCACTCTCGTTTATAAATTCATAATTTTGAACACATTTTCAATTCGTAAAGGACATCATTATTAACAGCAGTGCGTAAAACAAGCAGTAAAAACTGCTTGGAAAGAGGAAATACTATTTCAGAAAGTTACCTACTGCTTCTAAAATGCTAGATACTGCAGAAAAAGACCACAATTTACTTGGAAAAGACTAAATACTGTCTTCAAAATAATACCTATTGCTTCCAGAACGCTAAACACTGCTATTAAAGGTTTTGACTTACCTGTACAGGCGGAATACTACTTCCAAGACTATTTATTACTTTCAAAAATTTTAATAATTGTTTGGAAAAGAGATATGCTTTCCAAAAAGCTACCTACCGCTTCCAGAATGTTAGATACTGCTGGAAAAGACAAATAACTACTTGAAAAGAAGAGATATGCTCTCCAAAAAAGGTACCTACTGCTACCAAAATACTAGATACTGGTGGAAAAGATTACAATCTGCTTGGAGAAGACTAGATAGTGCTAACAAACAACTCCAAATTGATTGGAAAGATGAGATGCTGCTTCCATAAGACTACTTACTGCTTTCAGAGCGCTATATACTACTAGAAAAGATTAGGACTTGCTTGTAGAGGACTAAATATTGCTGGGAGAAACTATTATCTGCTTGGAAAGACAAGATACTGTTACCAAAAGACTATTAATTGCTTGGAGAAAGCCCAGATATTGTTGGAAAAGACTATTTAATGCTTTCAGAAAACTATATACTGCTGCCAAAATATTACTAAGTGCTTGGAAATTACAATACTACTGGCTGAAGACTATTTACTGAAACTATTCTTATGTTGAATGATATCTTTCTATGTCCCTTCCATTACAGATTTAAAAATTGCTGCTACAACACTCGATTCTTTGTCATCCAGATCTTTTTAGAGGGAGGTAGGGTCCCTCTCTTTAAACGTTACATTCTGATCCACCTGATTTATTTCAGAATTTTGTGTAGAAATTTTCACTTTGAGTTAGGTAAATTCTGTACCTGAGAGCTAAAGGGATATAAGTCCAAAATGACGTAATCGTAGAATAGCCGAAAATGTCTGATTTTTAGCTTCAAATAATAATAAATTGAAATCAATAAAAACTTCACAAATAAAGCTCGGAAATATTTTTTAATATTAATAATCTGTAAATATTCATTAATAGCATATTTTTATCAAAAATCTTTATTTTTAAAAAATTATATTGGACTTACTACATTTTGGCTCTAAAAAATTAAATGATTATTTGGACTTAAAACAAAAGAATTTGTAACAATATGAACTACAAAAAATAAGCAAACATTATAATTTTTACTAGAACAAAATTGAAACTTAGCTTGAGTCTCGGGCTTAGCCGTGCGTCTTCACACGGCTAAACCCGAAACTTTCTAGTTTTAGGTCTAGTGTTAGTTCTAGTTTTACACTAGCACTATCACTAGAACTAACAGAAGACCTAGAACTAGAATCATTCGGGTTTAGCCCTCTTAAGAGACGTATGGCTAAACCCGAATGTTTCTAGTTCTAGGTTTAGTGTTAGTTCTAGTTTTAGTTCAATAACAATATACAATCTGTCTAGCTATCTAGTGCTTACTAGCGCTACCTAACACTGTCACTAGAACTATTACTCGACCAAGAACTAGAATCATTAGGCTTTAACCATACGTCTCAAAAGACTAGGTTTAGCCTTTCGCTTGCCTTTATAACGTTCTGATTACAAAAAATTCTAACATTACTGATTCTTTGGAAAAAATTTATTGATTGATAATCTAAGAAGTTAATTTGTGTTCTAATCAGCGTTTCCTTTATTTCAAGATCTTTGAATGTTTTGAAAATCAACTTTTTCTAATTTCTTTTGTCTTTTCAAGTTTTCTGATAATGTTTTTTATCAATTTGTACCGTTTTGACAAACACCAATCAACTTTTTCTATTTCTTGGTATCTTTGAATCACTTCCAAAAACATCAAAATCGTTTGTTTTGAATTTTTTCACCTTCGTCAAGTATTGTAGGGATGTTTTAAATGCATTATATCCATATTCATACACACCAATCAACTTATCCTATATTCTAAATCATCCACATTGCCTTTTCGAATTTCTTTCATCTTTGTCAAGCAATCTTACGCTGTTTATAATTAATTTGAAGTATTTTGGCAAACCTCAATCAACTTTTTCTATTTCTTGGTGTTTTTGAAACGACTTCAAAAACATCAAACTCGATTTTACTACACCATTTTAACTTTGCTAAATATTTTTGAGATGTTTTTAATGCATTGGAACCATTTTGATTTACATCAATCAGCTTGTCCTATAGGTATAATGTATATGCTAAAATTTTTGAAACTTTTGGAAATCACCCCCATTGCTTTTTCTAACTTCTATCATCTTTATAAACTAATCTGAAAACGTTTATAACAGATTTGAGCCATTTTGACAAACACTAGTCAACATTTTTTATTTCTTGGTATCTTTGAATCACTTCCAAAAGCATTTAAATCGTTTGTTTTGAATTTTTTCATCTTTGTCAAGTATTGTACAGATGTTTTAAATGCATCATATATATACATTTTGATACACACCAATCAACTTTCACTATATTCTAAAATCTCTGAAACTTTTGGAAACGCTGTTTATAATCGATTTTAGGTATTTTGGCAAACACCAATCAGCTCTTCGTATATTCTAAAATCATTGAAACTTGACAAAATCAACACCGATGCTTTCACTAGGTTTTTTCAACATGCCCAAGTAATCTAACAATGTTTATAATCGATTTGATCCATTTCGGCTAACACCAATCAGGATTTCCTAATTCTTGGTGTCCTGGAAACGTTCATTTTCTGTACAGGACTTTTTAAATTACAGGTATAAACTACCAGTTTGTTCTTTAAAGGATTTTCACAAAAAAAAAATCTTTAGATATAGACTTTTTATTACATTCACATAAATAATTAGATTTTAATCGAGGTGTGAATCTGCATAAACATTTCTATATCAAAATATTGAAATTTTGCAACATTTGTACCTTTACAGATTTTTATCAACAACGTTAGAACACAATTATTATTATATCTTATATGTACTTATATCAATTGAAGAGGACTTCTTTTTATGACACTTTTTTATTGTTAACTTGACACAAACTTATTGCAACTTTTCTACGAAAATCAGACGTAATTTCTTGCTTAAAAGAAGAGTTCAAGAAGCGAGGTTGGTGACAAATGAACAACGCCAATATTGCAGTTATCACATTTTTATATAAAACCGCTTGCTTTTACAACAATCTGATTACAAAAAATTCTAACAATACTGAGTTTTTGGAAAAAATCTATTGACTGATGGTCTAGGCAGTTAATTTGAGTTCTAATCGGCTTTTCCCTTATTGCTAGATCTTTGAATTTTTGTAAAGTACTTTGATAATGTTTCTTATCAATTTGCACCATTTTGGACAAACACCAATCAACTTTTTCTATATCTTGGTATCTTTGAATTACTTGCAATAGCATCAAAATCGTTTGTTTTGAATTTTTTCATCGTTGTGAAGTATTGTAGAGATGTTTTAAATGCATTATAACTTCTTTCATCTTTGTCAAGCAATCTTACACTGTTTGTAATAAATTTAAGGCATTTTAGCAAACATCAATCATTTTTTTCTATTTCTTAGTATCTTTGAAACGACTTCAAAAACATCAAACTCGATTTTACTACACCTTTTTAACTTCGTTAAATATTTTTGAGATGTTTTTAATGCATTGGAACCGTTTTGATTTATACCAATCAGCTTTTCCTATATGCTAAAAACTCTGAATCTTTTGGAAATCATCCCCATTGCGTTTTCGAACTTCTCTAATCTTTCTCAAGTAATCTAACTGTGTCTATAATCGATTGGAGCCATTTTGGCAAACACCAATGAGGTTTTTTAACATTCATGTAATGTTGTGTTAGGTTCATAATGCAAAAGAAACATCTTTAGTTTTGCACTAGACTAACACAAGACTTAGAACTAGAATCATTCGAGTTTAGCCATCTTGAGAAACGTGCGGCTAAACCCGAATGTTTCTAGTTCTAGATAAACTCTTTTTTCTTTCTAACTGTTTTTTTAATTTTCACAGCATCTCCAACAAAATTGATTTGGCATTACTATTTCTTCATTAGTACTTCTACAATAGGTACGTATTATTTTAAACTCGTATCATTTTTAAGAAAAACATTAATTTTATTTCAAATTTTTTAGATTTTACTCTATTTAAAAATTGGTCACGATGTTTTCTTTTCGGAATCTGCTAGAAACAGAATATTTTAATATAAATCAGTTACATGATAATGCAACATCACTACATTTAGCAGCAAGGAATGGCGACATGGGTGTAGTCACTAATTTATTAGAAGCAGGTGAAAATGTTAATTCGGAGTTAGGTTTCAATGGTTTTACGCCCATATATTTTGCAATTCAAAGAAAGCAATTATCGATGGTTAAATTTCTAATAGCACATAAAGCAAATGTGAACCATATGGCCAAACATGGAATTACACCTTTACATTATGCAGTGCAGCAAGGGTATTTAGATATAGTTAAAACATTACTTGAAAATGGAGGAGATGTTAGTAAAATGGATAAATTGAATATTACACCATTACATTTGGCAGCTCGATTCGGTGTATTAGATATTGTTGAGTTACTTCTTGAAGCTGGAGCAAACGTTAATAAGAAAACAATTGAAAAGGTTACACCTCTGCATATAGCGTGTCAAGAAGGCTTTTCAGATGTAGTAGACGTTTTACTAAGGGCAAAATCGCGTGTTAATGTTAAAGATTTTGAGAATGTTACTCCACTCCATCTTGCAGTAGACCGTAATCATTTCGGAATAGTTAACTCGCTTCTTCTTTGCCAGGAAATTGATATTAATGCAAAAGCTTCTGACAATACAACCGCTTTACATAGGGCATCTCAGAATGGTTGTTTAAAAATAGTTGAACTGTTAATAAAGAATAAAGCTGATGTTAATGCTATTAATAACGAAGGGTTTTCTCCTTTACATTTAGCCCTGCAACAAAAACATTTTGGGGTGAGTGTTTTTTTGATTGAAAATGGTGCAAATGTTAATACCAAGGATAACTTGAATTGGACTCCTTTACATAACGCAGCATATAATGCTTATTCAGTTGAAATTGTAGAGATCTTACTAGCTAAAGGAGCTAAGGTAAATGAAAAAATGGGTGATGGTAAAACAGCTTTACACTTAGTAGCTGAAAATAATTCTGTTGGGATCATAAATACCTTGATTGAAAATGGAGCAGATCTTGGTGTTTCAGATAACAGAACTTGGACTGCCCTACATTTTGCGGCATATGATGGTAATATAGAAGTTGTTAAAATTTTGCTTGAGAAAGGGGTCAACATTGATGCTAAAACAGTTAAACTTAATACACCCCTACATTTTGCTGTGCAACATTTTCACTTAAATGTGGTTGAATTACTTTTAAAGGAAGGAGCCGATGTTAACGCTCTAGATCATACAAATTGGACTCCATTACATTTTGCAGCTGAAACTGGTCAAGAAGAGATATCCAATCTTTTATTAAAACATGGTGCTAATGTAGAAATAAGAGATACTACCGATAATTGCACACCTCTACATTTAGCAGCTGATTATGGCCATTCTAAAGTAGTTACTTGTCTAATTAAAAAAGGAGCTGATGTTAATGCAGTAACGCATGAAAATGCTACACCTTTACATTTAGCATTAACTAGTAATTATGACACTGTTAGTACTCTGCTTAAAAATGGAGCATATTTTAATGCCAAAAGTGCAAAATTACGCATCATTGAAAAAGTAAGAAACCCATCGGCAATAAAATTACTAAAATCGATCGAGAAATTGTTTAAAGCCACAGAACAAAACAATTACTTAGAAGTTGAAAAATGCATTAAACAAGGATCAATTTTAGATGCGAAAAACGTCGAAGGACAAACACCACTACATCTTGCTGTTAACAACGGAAACAAAAAAATAGTAAACATCTTACTAAAAAACGGAGTCGACGCTACTAAAATCACTAACAAAGGTAACACACCGTTACACACTGCCGTTTCTAAAAATCAAAAAGAAATTGTTGAAGCATTGTTAAAACATGTGAATCAAAAGAAATTGGGTGATTTTGTTAATGCTAAAACAACACTTAAAGGGACCACGTCACTACACGTTGCTGCTGAAAAAAGCTTTTTTGAGATTGTGAAATCTTTACTGAAGCATGGTGCGATTTACAACGTTAAGAATGAAGATGGCGAATCACCGGTTAATTTATCTCAAAACGAGGATGTTATTAATCTTTTAAACTTAATCGAAAAAACGTTTGGGGACGCAAAAAATGGTGATTTAAGCATTATCGGCATGCTAAAAGAATTAAAACCCGATGAGTATGATGTTATTATAAACGCACGTAATGATGAAAATAAATCTTTAATCCAGGTTGCAATTAGTAATAATCATCGAGACCTTGCAAATGGAATAATAGAAATGTTGCAAGGATCAAGCCAGAAAATATAAGATTTTAATCGATTCAGTTTTTTTATTGTTATATCTTTTCTTTTTTTAGATTTACTCATATTCTGTTGTGTTAGTGTTAATCATTATTATTATTGTTTTATTTAACTTTTTTTAATAAATCTCTATTGTAATAAGTAATAATATAACCAAATCGTTCATTATTTTTTTTTTCAAGTTTTGCATAATCCTATTAATCGTAGGCGAGGTTACGAATTTTTGTATTAATAAAACGTTGTAAATATGTTGAATTCATTATGTATTGTCAATACGAAGTAATTTTATACAATTTTGACAGTGACATAACCTCAAATTTAATTTTTCATTAATTTCTAATTGAAATTCATGTTTGTCCGGTTGAAAACATTAAAAACGATAATCTTACTTAATCAAGAACGAAAACCATCCATCATATGGGAGTTTTGATGAAGAATTGGACGAAAATCCATAGGTTAAATATTTGAATATATTTTTGAAGCTAGACGTTGAAATCTAAAAGAAAATGTTCCGAAGTCAGCAAAACAAAGTTAAAGCAATAAAACTACAACATTTCATGCATAAATATTGTTAAAATAGAAATTTGAATAATTTTTGATAAAATTTAATTGGTGACATTTGACATTTCGAAGTTGGCAATACCGGAGAAATTTAAATTACGAATTTCAAGTTGAAAAATTTAACCAATCAGAAGACGTTATTTAAAACGTTCTTGCAATAAACAAACGAAACTGGTAGATTTAGTGTGATTTCGAACGTCAAGAGGAGCGTACGCTAATTTTGTCGGCGATCATTTTAAAAACCAAAACAAAAGTTAGGTTACTTGTCAATCACCATTGTGACATAACCTCAAAAATAGAAAACTTATTATTGAAATAAGAAGAAAAGAAGGTTATTAGAATTAAAATTAATCAAGAAAATTAATTGGTTTCTGATCTAATTAATCCAGTATACCATTCCGAAAAATTATTCCAATCCAATCAAGAATCATTGTTGCCGACTCCTTTGCAGAGACCAAGTTTCATTATCCGAGAACTTCAGTAATCACAAGATAAGCTAAGTTATAATTTTCAATTTCATAATTATTCGTTTTTGTTTATTTATTTTAATTTTCATTTAAAATTTCACTTACGTTAACCTTCGAACGGACGCTCTGTCATAAAATTTATGACTATTTTCCTTTTTATAATATATCTCCTTATATTATGCATTTCAAAGGATTTAACGCTGAAGTATTCTTGTAACTATGTATTTTGAACATGATGAAAAAAAGAAATGTAAAAAATAGTTATTTACGTAACCAGTTATGAAAAGACTAATTTTGTTTGACGAATGTAACATTTGTCAAAACAAGCGAGCGAATTTTGCAAATTACATGAGTTACCTGCCAGTTATACTGGTCATTGCTTTCGACGATCATCTGCATCATTATTGGCTGATTCAAGTGCTGATATATTAAAAATTAAACAGCATGGTGGTTGGAAATCCAACATTGTGCATTGTGGCAGAAGGCTACATTGAAAATTCATTAGAAAACAAAAAAAGAATTGCAAAGAACATATTCGGTCAACATAACGAGGTAGAATTAAACCAACCAATTTGTTCCGAGTCGATGGATAACGAACAAGTACATATTTCAGCTGAAAATGTGAATCCGTTAGTTTCAGATCTTAAATTTAATAGTTGCGTTTGCAATAATTTTGTTATTAATGTTTATTCAAACAAACCATAACAGTTATAATCAAGAAATGAATAAAGTTTCTTGTTTGTAACAATTGTATTTTCCTCAAATATATTAAGGTACGTAAAATTTCATTACATCACTAGTTATGCAAATGAGCTTCAACCTAAGCCTTCAACCAACAGTAAATAGTCCTGGAAGATATTTTTTACTTCAGTAACTATGTTGGATAAAATTTCAGTTATTCTTAAAAGCTCTATAAAAGATATTGTTACAAACGATTTCTGTAGTAATCAAATTAGGTTTTAATTTTAACAAATGCCGTACTTAAATTAAAAAAATAGCCAAAAATCGAAATTAACTTGCCAAAAATAATAAAAAAAATGAATTACATGAAGTACAAAAAAAGTCTCCAGACGCACCTCTAAACCCGATACTTTCTAGTTCTAGCTCTAGTTTTAGTTCTATAAAAATATGCAACATAGTGATTTCTTATGCTAACTAGCGCTATCTACCATTGTCACTACAACTAACACTAGACCTAAAACTAGAAACATTGGGGTTTAGCCGCACGTCTCTTAAGACAACTAAACCTGAATGATTCTAGTTCTAGGTTTTGTGTTAGTTCTAGTGATAGTGCTAATATAAAACTAAAACTAAGATCCGAAAAGTTATAATCAAGAAATGAATAAAGTTTCTTGTTTGTAACAATTGTATTTTTTGAATCTCACCCTCGATAGCCTCATGAAACGCCTAAATCTAGCCGGTTTTAAAATCGTTGGCTACGCAGATGACCTGACAATCCTCATAAGAGGCAAGTACGCTAATGTACTCCTCTACAGGATACAGGAAGCACTCAATCTAATTGAGAACTGGTGTAATAAACAATGCCTTTCCTTCAATCCCAAAAAGATAGAGATGGTTCTTTTTACACGCAAGCGCAACATTGGCAATCCTAGACTACCAACGCTCGCTAAAATTCCACTTAAACTGTCTACAGAAGTCAAGTACTTGGGCTTAATAATAGACAGTAAGCTAACGTGGAAATCCCACCTAGACAATAGAGTTAATAAAGCTTGTGTCGCCTTCGGCCAGTGCCGGAGGGCTGTCGGGAGGACTTGGGGTCTGTCTCCCAAGATAGCCCTGTGGATCTACACCGCCGTTGTTCGACCAATGCTAACTTACGGTGCGGTGGTATGGTGGACTAGAACTTCTAAGTCTACCGCCACCACTGCGCTTAATAGAATNTAAATAAAATATTGTTATTGTTGCTATTTATTTAATAAATAGCAACAATTCAACATCTCCCAATGAATCGTAAAACGAACGTTTCTTTGTGAAATACACTAATAATAAATGTAGTATGCAACCTGCTGGAATCAATATATTTGGTTCTTTACCAAAATTAATTGCGCAATATCTCAAATTTCCAAATCCTGCTAGTTATACTGGTCATTGCTTTCGACGATCATCTGCATCATTATTGGCTGATTCAAGTGCTGATATATTAAAAATTAAACAGCATGGTGGTTGGAAATCCAACATTGTGCATTGTGGCAGAAGGCTACATTGAAAATTCATTAGAAAACAAAAAAAGAATTGCAAAGAACATATTCGGTCAACATAACGAGGTAGAATTAAACCAACCAATTTGTTCCGAGTCGATGGATAACGAACAAGTACATATTTCAGCTGAAAATGTGAATCCGTTAGTTTCAGATCTTAAATTTAATAGTTGCGTTTGCAATAATTTTGTTATTAATGTTTATTCAAACAAACCATAACAGTTATAATCAAGAAATGAATAAAGTTTCTTGTTTGTAACAATTGTATTTTCCTCAAATATATTAAGGTACGTAAAATTTCATTACATCACTAGTTATGCAAATGAGCTTCAACCTAAGCCTTCAACCAACAGTAAATAGTCCTGGAAGATATTTTTTACTTCAGTAACTATGTTGGATAAAATTTCAGTTATTCTTAAAAGCTCTATAAAAGATATTGTTACAAACGATTTCTGTAGTAATCAAATTAGGTTTTAATTTTAACAAATACCGTACTTAAATTAAAAAAATAGCCAAAAATCGAAATTAACTTGCCAAAAATAATAAAAAAAGTGAATTACATGAAATACAAAAAAAGTCTCCAGACGCACCTCTAAACCCGATACTTTCTAGTTCTAGCTCTAGTTTTAGTTCTATAAAAATATGCAACATAGTGATTTCTTATGCTAACTAGCGCTATCTACCATTGTCACTACAACTAACACTAGACCTAAAACTAGAAACATTGGGGTTTAGCCGCACGTCTCTTAAGACAACTAAACCTGAATGATTCTAGTTCTAGGTCTTGTGTTAGTTCTAGTTTTAGATCAATAATAATATACAATCCTTCTAGCTATCTAGTGCTTACTAGCGCTACCTAATACTGTTACTAGAACTATTACTTGGCCGCACGTCTCTCAAGACGTCTAAACCTGAATGATTCTAGTTCTAGGTCTTGTGTTAGTTCTAGTGATAGTGCTAATATAAAACTAAAACTAAGACCAGAAACTTTCTAGTTCTAGGTCTAGTGTTAGTTCTAGTTTTAGTTCAATTAGAATATGGACACATAGTGATATCTTATGTTAACTAGCACTACCTACCACTAGTGTAACTAGTGATAGTGCTAGTGCAAAACTAAAACTAATACTAGACCGAGAACTAGAAACATTCGGGTTTAGCCGCACGTCTCTCAAGACGGCTAAACCCGAACGATTCTAGTTCTGGGTCTTGTGTTAGTTTTAGTGATAGTGTTAGTATAAAACTAGAACTAACACTAGACCTAGAACTAAAAACAATCGGATTTAGCCCGATTATATGCATATTTTTATAGTGCGGCTCCAGACGCACTATAAAATCATCGTAGTGATATCTTATGCTAACTAGCGCTATTTACCATTGTCACTACAACTAACACTAGACCTAGAACTAGAAACATTTGGGTTTAGCCGCGCGTCTCTCAAGACGGCTAAACCCGAATAATTGTAGTTCTAGGACTTGTGTTAGTTCTAGTGATAGTGCTAGTGCAAAACTAAAACTAACACTAGACCGAGAACTAGAAACATTCGGATTTAGCCGCACGTCTCTCAAGACGGCTAAATCCGAATGATTCTAGTTCTAGGTCTTGTGTTAGTTCTAGTTTTAGTTTAATAATAATACACAATTCCTCTAGCTATCTAGTGCTTACTAGCGCTACCTAACACTGTTACTAGAACTATCACTTGACTTAGAACTAAAATCATTGTTAAAATTTTTAAAATCATGTTTATGTCAAAAGACTAAGTTTAGCTCT